ACGATGATGCTACCGTCAGGAGAGTTGTAGCAGCTGCTGATCGAGTTTTGGAGTGCCTCTCTGAGCTCGGCTCTGCCTCAGACATCAAGTCTCTGCTCAAATCTTTCCAGGTGTTTTCTGAGGCTCTGCTTCTCCTCAACAGCCTGACAGTGGACAGAGCAAATTCCTTACAGGATCCCAGACAAACGAAACAGCTTCTTGATTCCTTGGAGACTTTGAGGAGGTGCATCTCCATGCTGCACACGGCCATGTGCACAACCATCAAACACCCTACAAGTGAGCAGGCACAGGCTGCTCGGAGATACATTCTGGACAAGGTGCAGAGCACAGTGAGTGACGTTGTTGTAACCCTGAAAAGTGAATGCCACAGTGGATCACTGGGTACTTGTGGGTATTACATAGGGAGGAGGAACAGTCTGCTGCAACTACTTACTAGTACCCAAATCTCCTCAATCCAAGGCAGCAGCTTTGACAGCATGGTGAGAGATCTGGTGTTTCACTGTATGGTTGTGGCAAACACTTCTCGTAAAGAGTTTCAGCAAAGGGTGGTGAGTCATTGTCGTCACATCCTGCAACTGTGGTCTGACATAAAAAGGATTTTAAAGTCCTCAGAAGATCTGAATGATTCTGAGCAAAGCCTTGAGAAGATCTGCCCTCTGTTGGTGCAGCAAATACAAATGCTTGACGAAGTTTTGTTGACAACAGTTCTCTATCAAGTCTTAGACACATTTCTTACGGCATCTTCTACAGTTGAAGAACTTTCAGGTGTGACCAGACAGATCCTGGTTGGACACTCTTCTACAGAGATAGATCTGAGTTTTATACAGCCACGAGTTGAGGATTTGATATCCTCAACTGATCGAATAATCCAAGTGGCTAATTTTATCTCAGCAATAGCTGTCAATGCAAAGAGTTTGGAGAATGTGGAGAACTCACGAGTATGCCTCACAAGACTCAGGGCTCGGATTGAACCGTTGTCACTGGAGCTGGTGGATAGTTCAATGCAAACTGTTCAAAAGCTCCATGAGGTGTGTCAACAATGGGAGGAGGAGACAAGTCAGCTTCAGGATGCTCTCAGTGACGTGATGGATGTCAGGGAGTTCACCAGTATCGCTATCAATGAGGTGGTCAATGATCAGCATGGATGTGATGCAGCGTACAGAGAGCAAAGCTACAAACTGTTTAATGAACATGCAGCCAATCTTATTTGTCACATGAAGCTGGCAGTTCACTCAGTGAGGAGACACTTGGACAGAAGTGATAACCCCATCTACAGGAATGGCCTCCTAGTCCTGCTCAGACAGGTTCAGTCATCTCGAACCAAAGTGGGTGAGTCGGTCAGAGAGATGCTTTCAGGTTCCAGTCTTAATGTGGAGGTATATTCTACTTTTTCAGATAATATTTCCATGGCTATTCAGCATTTTAAAGTGCTCAGAAAGGGACTGGATGGCCAACAGCATCCACATCTCCTGAGTCCACTGCGAGAGGGGGCACGTCAGGATGTAATGTCACGGTCATGTGCACCAGTCAAAGACACCTGTGAACTGAACCAGGATCATATGATAAGAGGCTCCCCTGTTTTGCAGGCTGTGGAGAGGGATTCCCAAACCGAACATGAGGAGGAGAACACAGATGAGGAAACCATAGAAGCAGAACTGGCTCATAAATATGACAGTGATGATTTAAAGATCCCAGCTGTCTACGATAAGCCCAAACTGATCCGCAAGCCTCTTGAATTTGACCTTTTACCCCTCATGTATGAAGTTGTGACTGTGACTAAAGGGAAAGATGTGACAGTGCTCAACAGGGCCTGCACTGGTGTTCTTGAGCTGTCGAACTGTTACGCTCAAGCTGCAAAAGAAGCCTCGGCCATTGTTGATGCAGTTGATTGTCAGACGTTGGAATGTTTTAGAGCAGAGCTGGTGTCACTGACTCCGCTGCTCGTCCAGACCGCTCAAGAGACAGCGATGAGCTCGGTGATGAGCACGGAGAGCATCTACAAACACAGCACGCAGTTTACTGATCTTATCAACAACACCCGAAAGGTTTTACTGCCAGTTGCTGGAACCTGGTATCATACTGTTTATACTGAGCTGCAAGGAAATCTGCCAACAAAGGCGGCCACTGTTCCACAGCAGCTAAATCAAGTGATGACTTTAGGTGCTGACGTGGTCCAGCTCTTGACATCGTCAGATTTAGCCTCACAAAGCGATGGTCAAGAAACATTCAGCGTTTTACACAACAAGCTGAACAAAGCCCAGAACAACACAAAGTATCTGGTAGAGTTTTCCACCTCAGTGGAAGAACAGGCAGATCAGCTCGAGGGACTCTGTATCCTCTGGGGCCTTTCGATTCAGATTTTGCTCAATTCTCTTGATAAGATTTTGGGAACATCGACTGCAATGAACCAGCTGAGCCCTCAGAAACACCTATCAGTGCTGTCAGAGAACTCGCTTCGAATCCAAGAGGCAGCGAGGCTAACCAGCCTAAATTCTAAGAGTGCTTACAAATCAAAACAGTTAACAGGACACCAGGATGAACTAAAAACCCTGACTGACGCCTATCTCAAAGCTGCCGAAGAGCTTGACACAATACCAAGTGTGATGCAACTTGCAAAGTCTGAATTCTTTCAGAGACGTCTTTTGATTAAAATTAAGGTGCTTTCTAGTCATTTAAGCAAAGCAAATAAGGATTTTGATACAGCACTTCAAAATATTGTCAGCATTGCTTATTTTGCTGCTGAACACTTCAGGGAGAACAACACAGAAGATGCAGAGCAGAAGTTTGAAAATGCAGCTCAAACACTTTCTGAAAATGTAAAACAAGCGACGAAGAGAGTCGAGGACTGCTTACATTACGTCCGCGACCCACGTGCCCGTTCTAACCTGAGGTCTATCAACGACCACCTGTCTTTTCAGATCTCGGATATAATCAGCAGGGCGAGGCTCATCGTAGAGACTCATTACATTTGTGACACACTCAGTCTGGATGTGCAGATACAGTGCTGGTCTGCAAAAGCTCACTATGTGGTGGAGGAGATCAGGAAGCAGGATGGGATTCACCAAGAGGCTAAAGAGTACATCAGAGCTGGTCTACAGGGCAGAGCACCTGATGATATTAAAGACGCGTTGGCTACAATCCCATTGAAAGTCAAGGAAGTGGAATTTCCCTCTGACATAACAATGACATCCTGGCAGAAAGGCAACACAGAAGATGTAGAAGCTGCAGAACCAGATGTGAACATGGCAGCTGTGGCCAAATATGAACCTGGAAATATGGAAAAAGATGTAGGTGTCTCATGATTAACACAATTTTAAGGTTCAGTGATTCCTTCATGTCACAATAAATCCCTATTTTTCCCTTCAGGACGGTGTCTGGTCTGGCACATTCAAAGAATCTCCTTCGTTGACCCACACGTCTCTTTTCCTAAAGCAAGAAAGTGACAGCTGGGATCCCAAGGACAACAGAATTGTCCAGGTGACCAGGAAGATGGCTGACACACTTTGTTACATGACTCAGTACTTGAAGAAGAAAGGCCCAATACCAGTAAGGACCACAAGAGGGCACTTGACATACGTTACTGTCTTGACCTTGATATTTGCAGGCATCCTCATCCACAACACCCTCAGTCATTCCTGTTTTTTTTTTCCAGAATAAAGAGGCATTTGTCAGTGCGGCCAAAGATGTTATCTCAAACTGTCAGTCAGTGACTCAGTTCATCAGAGTTATTGCCAACCACTGCCTGGATAAACAGTGTACAGTTGAACTCTCCCTCATAGTTGAGCAGATTCTCACCATCACCAACCAGCTCAACATCATCTCCAGGTCAGAAGAGTGTAAACATAAATCACATAGTGAAAACTAAGCAAGAGAAAATTTGTAAAGAGGTTATTTTCATGCTTATTTAGTGTCAATGCTGTAACACCTGGGTGCAAATCATCTGATGAGATCCTGGTGAAGAACACGCAAAATCTACTCCAGACGGTCTTGCGTGGGGTCCATGCTGCAGAAACAGCCTGCATCACGGTAAATATAACATCAGAAACATATCTACATTGATATATGGTCTTTTCCATGTATTATAGATAGATACGGTTCAAACACTCTGTTGTGTGTACTGTCTCCTGAACCATTAAAGGGACAGTTCACCCCAAAATCAAAAATACATATTTTTCCTATCACCTGTAGTGCTATTTGTCAATCTAGATTGTTCTGGTGTGAGTTGCTGAGTGTTGAAGATATCGGCTGTAGAGCTGTCTGCCTTCTCTCTTTTATAATTGAGCTAAATGGCACTCGACTTGCAGGTTAGCAGGTGTAGTTTGGTAGAAATAAAAATAGTTCTTACATGAAACTGCTCACAACAAGGTCTGTCTTTTTTTGGCACTTTGAGCACCACAAGCCGAGTGCCATCTGATTCCATTATATTCAAGACGGGCAGGCATCTCTAAGGCTGATATCTCTAACAGTCTGCAAGTCACACCAAAAAAATCTAGACTGATAAATAGCACTACATGTAAGAGGAATAATATGAAATTTAGATTTTGGGATGAACTGTCCCTTTAAAGCTGTACAATTACTCTCTTGTTCAAGGGTTTGAAGCAGCCTGAGCCGAACTCAGATGGTGAAGAGGCTACAGCCTTGTGTTTCCAGTGGAGACGGAAACTGGAGATCCATCGAGCCCAGCAGACGTCTAACCTAGAGACTGATGAGCTGGGTTTGAGGAAGACCTCATCCCACCCTGTAGCACCTAGTCTTGCCCCACCAGTTGGCTACAAGTGACAACTGCCCCTTAGAAAGCCTAACACAGATAACATTTTTGTTCTTGAGTTGATAGAATAACGTGACACCCACTCAGAAGGAGCTTTCACAGACTGTCATGCTCAAGGACACCCCAGCAAGTTCGATGAAATAAAATATTCTATACTGAAGCTGAGATTGGATGTAATGCTGGACATATTACTGGATTTATGCACACTAAAATAACACAATGCAACCTGATGTGTGGTTCTGAAAGAAAACACCTCATGTTTTACGTCTTTATTTCAGATATTTATAATCAAATCACTGAAATGTGACGGGCATATGTGTTGTTAAAATGTCATACAGTATTAATACAACCATAACCACCAAACTGACAGGAATAAAACAAAGTATTTCTCATTAAAACACTCAAAACAGACTGTACACGTGATACAAAATAGGCATTTACAATGTGAATTATGAAAACAATAAAAAAAAGTACATAGCTTAGTTTCAGTCCAACACAGCTCACCTTAACAGACACAGCACCGAGCGGAGCGTTACGCCACCTTCAGCCTACAACACTCACCCTTTGTAGCACACAGAACCCCCTGTGAGTTACAGTCAACTCAAAATTCAACATTAAACATAGTTATAAATGCCATATTTATATAATATATATCAATGTAATGTGAACATGATAATATTTTCTCTCTTTGTATAGTACACTTCTTTTTTTATTCTGATGAAAACAAGTGAATGACAGTTGAACTGCTATATACAAGCTTCTCATCAGTGTTTCGAGGAATTACAATGACAGATCGAAATGAGTTTCCAATATTATTTCACTCAATTGACTGTTATTACTGCTCGTTTAGCAAGTTAGAAAAGTCTACAACAGTAACGTCACATCCTCGAAGCATTTAGGCCACTTAAAAAAGGTCCAACAATGTACAAAGCAAAAATTGAATGGCTGCAACGTTGCGAAATTACACATTTCTTCTCAGTGCACTTAGAGAACTATCTAATATTGTAGATAATTTTATTTATGTTTTGATTATCTGATCATGCCAGAGGATGACCAATCATAAACTTATATCAGGGTGTGTTGTAAAAAAATGTCTGTTGACTTATTGTGAAAAAATCCCTTATAATAAAAGTGAGCATAAACAGAAGCATCTCGTAATATAAAAGTGAAATAAATAAATACAAAACTTCTCGAGGGAATTCTTACAATAATTGTTTGATCATTTATGTAGCGTTATGTCTCTGCATGTGGAGTGATCTATTCTACAGGTCGTAATGCCTGGAATGAACCCATACGGGTCAGTCCTTAGTGAAAACTATACAAGTTTAAATAATTCCTTTTTTCTGATTGTTTAAAACATACATGAAAAATACACAATGATAAAAGACCCTAACACACACACTGTCAAAACAAACATTTCAGCATTGATATGATTAAGTTAAAATAACTATACACTGTGTCTGTGCACATCTAGTATCATCTCCGTACGGACAAATGTGTAGTGCACTAGATAGTATGCGATTATATACAGGATCATTTATATACAGAAATAAATAGGTTCATGTAAAGCTAAATAAAGATTAATAGACACGTCTCATCAAAATACAATTCTTCTGCAACTTGTTTATATTTCCACGCTGTGTTTACTGACAGAAAGGAGAAGCAGTTGGATCAAAAGTCTTGAACACATCTTTCAGTGTCCTGTCATCTGCCTCCTCCTCTGGATCATCCTGTTTTGGTTCTTCCTCCATGGCGTCCTCCTGCTCCTTCTTTTCCTCCTGCTTCTTCTCCTCTGCCTCTTCTTGTGCTCCTGTAGAGCCCTGTCCTCCTGGTTTGGCCTGCCTGGGGTCGGTGTACTGGGGTCGGATCAGTCCAGCCAGCGCCTGGATGGGGAGGTTATGAACTGCAGGAGGTTTGACGGGTGAGGCGGGAGGCACTGTGGGAGAACCGGAGGGTGGAGGCTGATCTGAGGCGACGTCTGTGCTTTTGGCCTCTTCGAAAGAGCTGCTTCGTTGGGTTGGTGAGAGAGGCGGGGTATTGTCTTTCTTGGGGAGTTTCAGAATGCCTGCCTTTTTAGGAGGCTCTGCTTGCTCCTTCTGAGCTTGCTCGGTTTGATTACGAGGATCGTACAGACTGATGCCGCCGAGGATTGTAGTGGGACTCTCTAGCCCCCCACCAGAGGATGCCAGACGAGGGGCATAAGGTGGCAGCCTCTCAGGCTCTGGCTTCGCTTGGATAACATGAGGAGAGGAGCTCACACTGGCCTTCTGTAACCTGGGGTCCACAACTCCTCCCCCAGAGGAGGGCACCTTCTGACCCAGCAACTTGGAGTCCAAACTTCCTGTACGCTTTAGTCTGGGGTCCAGAGTCTTTTGCTGGCGTGGATCTATGGGTCTTTCAATGGAGGGTCGAGACTCTAGAGATCCAGAGGGTAATCGACTCATACGTTCCTTCAAGCGTGCAGCTACCAGTCTGGGGTCAGTCGGTGGAGGGCTGGAGACGGGGGGATGGTCAGACAGGCTTGTTCGGTTCATCTGAGCATCTGCAATTAGGGGTGGAAGGGGCAGGTTGATGGAGTGTTCCTGTTTGGGCACCAGGGAAGGGATGAGGTCCTCAGGGGCCCACACCACTGTCTGAGCGAAGGCTGGCCGCTGGAGCAGGATGTCCACCCGAATGTGGCTAAACTGCTTTAACTGACAACGAGGATCCCGCAGCACTGCACTGGGGCTGGGATCCAGAGGGATGAGAACCGCTTTGTCCCTGAGCTCCCTCTCTCCTTCATCATCATCATCACCCGTAGGAGGCTTCTGAGGAACAGGGTGGCTCTGCTGGCGATAAGAACTCGGCTCCATCGGTCTCATCTTCCTGGGGTCTCTGGAGAACCGTGGGTCTGCAGCTCCATCAGACTCCTTTTTCATATCCGGGGGTCGCTGACGTGGGTCTGTCTTCACACGGGGGTCAGTGGGTGGGGCCCTCTCCTTCACAAGCCGAGGGTCACCCAGTGCTAAAGCCACAGGGGCAGCCTGGGGGGGCTTGGACTGAGACTGCTGCATCTCACTCTGCTTCTTGAGAGATTTAAGGATGGAGGAAACACAGCTTCCATCCTCCTCGTCGCTTGAGTACCAGTTTGTAGTTTCATCTGTAAACAAAAATTAGATCATATTTAAATGTTTGTTCTCTTAAGCATTATTTGAGCGGGACTAGTATTAGCAGGGGACATCATGCGATTTAGAATTATCTCCCTACGTTTGTTTTTCGTGCGGCACATTCACATGGGATAAGCAAAGTCTGTTTACTTGAATTTACTGACATAAATAATTTTACTTGCTAATACAAGTCTCTTTACTTTAGCAAGTTCTCCATTTGTGAGGGCGTTCTGGGTGTTACTGGGTTTTATCTTAATTAATTCAGCAGACCTGCTTCTTGCCCCCGGGCACTTACCTCTGCTTGCACTGTTATCATCCTGGCCCTCTGCTCTCTGTGGCTCATTTCCCTGTGGATGTGACTCTTGTTGTTGCTGCTGCTGTGTCAGGTGTAAAAAGATGGCCTTCTGCACTGCTGGTGGTAAAGACTGCAACTGTGACTCTGCGTCCATCTGCTGGAGGTTCTGCATGAAGGCCAAACTGGGGTCTACTGCATTGAAAATAAAACAAAGAAGAATAACTTTGCAATTTGAGTTACCGGTTTAAATGTGATTTACCGACTGGACGACAATGTAACTATAATACTGACCTCCTTGCTGACCCATGGCCTGGTTTCGAAGGAAGCTGCTGAACAACTCTACTGGGTTCTGACCCAACGACGGAAATGGGAAGAGACTTTGCAGCATCTGTAGATCTGGTATAGGAGGGAACGGAGGCCTCTGCATGTTCATCTGCGGGTTCATACTGGGTCGGTTCCCGTGAAAGGGTGGAGGTTGACCAGGGGGGATTGGTGGCTGCACTGGAAATCCAGGTGGTGGGTGCTGTCCTGGAGGGCTCTGTGGCATGGGTGCTCCAGTGGGGTGACCCATGGGAACAGGTGATCCAGGGGGAGGAATCGGAGGAGCAGAGGGGGCTGTAGGAACCATACCTGCGCTCTGTGTGTCCTCTGAGCCTCCGCTAAACTGACTGGTGCCTTCACCTTGATTCTGGGTGTAGTTGGATCCACTGAAAAAATAATATGCACAGTTAGGTTGAGAATAAGCTCTTCAGAGTTCGATTTAGGTTTGATTACAGATTATTTTGGTTACCTCAGACCAATTTTTTGTGCCAAGTCCACAGTAGGTTGAACCTTGATTTCAAACAGGGAGGGGATCTTCTTCCCCGCCTGGCCAGAGGCTCCATCTGTAGGACTGCTCTGACCAGGAGTGGGCAGCAGACCCACCCCAGGAGGAGGCTTCGGAAGTGGGGCGATACCTTGCTTTCTCAAATCCTCCAGCTCCAACTCATCCTCGCGGGCGTTCTCCTCCTCAGTGTTTATTATCTGATAAATGAGTCAGAAAGCAGAAATAAAACAATTATTGATCATTAGAGCTGAAAATCTCTCGGCATATAAAAGTTTAAATAAAAAACACTTCTTTCTGTTTTACCTTATCGAGCAACTCTTTGGTCACGTCATTCAGAGCCTCGTGGGAGAATTTGCAGTTGTCCCCTTGATAACATTTAGCTCCAGTATGAAAGAACTTGCACGGGTATTCATGTGCAGTCACAGGTTAAGGAACAGGACTAATTAAAAGGTGTGATGGGAATTCCCTCCATTATGCAATTACACAAATGTAATTAAAAACTCTTGTTAGTAAAGGATATTGTGCATGTAAATGCAGTTATCTCCTTTGCTGCAGTAGCCTTGGAGGTAAAATTTGCAGAGTTCCTTTTTCTTATCTGGTACGACGAGCTCATGTTCGAACTTGCACTGTTCCCCCTGTGTAAAGAAAAACTGAGTTTATCCTTCAGGTAGGAAACTTAAGTGTATATTGTTAAAACAAGTAAAAGAACATTAGTGCTACTTTACCTTGATGCATCGACCCTCGAGGAAATACTTGCAGATGTACCTGCCGTTGTGTTCAACCGTGTGCTGATTGATAAACTCTTTACTCATGATCGGTCGTTTCTTCTGAAAACCGGAGGAATTTTTTCCTTCCTGTGACACAAAATAAACAAGATGTGGTCTTCGTTTTATCTTTTCCCCCAACTAGTGTCTTAATGTGCAAGTCTGTTTAATACAAAGCTGAATGGTACAGTCAAAAGATGAAATATTGTGAAAACTTAAGAATAACCTCGTCTTTTTGTCTTTTTTCTCTAGAGCACAAACTTCTTGTGTGTATTTGAACTTTTAAATGTCAGTTTTCTATAAAATGCAAATTACATTGTGATGCAGATGAAAACCAGGTTCCCACAGCTTAAGGTAAGTTAGATTTAAGACGTTTTGAGAGTTTTTTAACCCTACTCAGAATGAAATTTAAGACCAATTTTACAATAACCAAAACAGAAGAAAAGAAATGTGCACCAATATTAATTACGCATTGTTAGGGAAAATTTTGCCTAAAAGTTTATTGTAGCATAAAACATGATTTTTTTTGTCTCATGGCAAGTTTTCTTGTTGATTTTGTGTTTCTCATTCTGCCTGTTGGACTCCACTGCCTTCATTCCCATTGTGAGTTTGAAAAACATTTTGCATGAAAGTACACTGAGCCTCATATGCATTTCAGTCATAGCAGGAAATCTTGGCTAAACAGCCAATTGTCACTGTATTTGCACTTCCCCATGTCGTCCAGGGTACAGTGACAGGTAATTAGCAGACAGTGGATTCTCACAAAGTATGAGTGTCCACATTCCACATCTGCGTGATGTTAATGTAAGAGGCATGCGGTAAGTTATTTAAGAAAAATTATACCAATTATTTTGATATTTTTAAATGCACTGTCAAAAGAAAAGGATTTACAAAGTCCTACTTCCCATGTCTTTGCATTTTTAAGACTTTTGAAAGACTGATTACAGATATTTTAATACCAATTAAGGCCTTTTTAGATGAATGAATTCAATGATTCTGAGACTAAGGGTCTGCAGAAACCCTGAAAAATATATACAGTATTTTAGCTTGATTCCCCATGACTAATATAATATTAACGTATTTATTAGGGGTGGGAATCACTAGGAGATACACGACACAATATTATCACGATACTTAGGTCACGACACAATATTATTGCAATTTTAAATATGTTGCGATATGCTGATTTACATGCAATTTATAACATTTTTTTTTACTGTAAATTATGTCCCCAAAGGAGAACCTGTCAACATATTTTTAATCTAATAAGATAAAGTTTTCAGTCTGTTACTCTGACTTCAGACATTTTTTTGTAGCAAAATGTATCTAGTGGACTGAAAAGCAATGAACATATGATTCCAGTAGACTATAAAAAGCTGATATGTATTGTAATATTAATCATTTATATAATAAAAAAAAATTGTGATACGACATTGCCACAAAAAAATATTGCGATACTATGCTGTATTGATTTTTTTCCCCCATCCCTAGTATTTTTTAGGGAGCAGTTGTGGCTCAAGTAGTAGAGTATATATTCTACTTAAATAACATATGATACTAATATCTGGCTGAAATTTACAAGGCACACTTACTGGCACCATGTCATCCATGCATTGGTCTCCTCCTCGACCTCGCCCGCGTCCTCCCCAGGGTTTCCCCTTCAGCTTCTTGTTCTTGTTGAGCATCCCACGTCCTCTTCCTGGCCCACTCCCTCTGCCTCTTCCTCTCTGCCCAACTGAAAATGACATTTTCATCAAACACATTATTATTCACAATAAATCTAGATAAATTACAACAGGAATGATCTGATATCAAAAGTGTTTGAATCTGAAAAGCACTCATACACTGCTGTTGTTTCATCCCTCTCATGCTTCCTCTCTTCATCTGGTCTTTAGTGTGGCGTCCCTTTCCCTGACACTGGGAATCTTTTGACTGTGAATACTCGGACATGTCATCTTCATAATCATCCTCCTCTTCATCGTAGTCGTACTTGTCATCACTGTAGTCGCTGTATTTGTCAAAGTCACTGCTCTTGTGCGGCGGGGACTTCTGTGAGTTGCCATGGCCTCCCTTTGAATCTCGTCCGTGCTGGCAGGTCAACAGTCACAGAGAAAAAAATGTCACACAATAATGCTTTTATGGATATTAAGTGGCAGCAGCAGCCAGCGGTTGTGAACTCACCTGAGAGGACTGGCCATCAAATCCCTGGCTCTTACGGTTTTTGGGCCTTTCAGGTCGGTCGTAGTCGGAGTCATAACTGTCAGAGCTGGAGCTGCTGGAGGGGGAGTGGTGCTGAGGAGAGGGCGGAGGGAACAAAGGAAAAACACACCATTAAAGTGAATTGTGAATTAGCCTAACTTTTCCTAACTTCACTGCTGTAGCAGTAAAAGATATTTTATTGCGATAACAAATACGGCAGCATATTACTTTCTGTCTGTCACGCCTTCTCCTTTTAGACCTCCTCTTCTCTCTGGTCTTTTTGTATCTTTTCCTGGAGTGCCTGTGAGTCTTCTCTTCTTTCTCTTTAACCTTTTCTTTTTCCTTCTCCTTCTCTTTGTCTTCATTCACCTCTGGAGCCTCTTTGTTTTCCTCCTCAATTCCAATCCCTTCATCATCTATTTCTCCATCTTCCAGCTCGCCATCCTCTCTAAAAGAAAAAGAGGAAAACAGTGAGTTCCTCGAGTATAACTATAAGGGTTTATATACTTTGTTTTGTCAGCGTCAGACTTTCTTAAAATGTTTTTCATATCATAAGCAAAACCAGAATCACCTGCTGTAATGATTTAATAAGAAATAAAAATGTTATTACACTGCCATTAAGTATTTTCCCATCATTTGGAGCAAAGCAATGAATAATAAGCCAGACAGTTTCCAATACACGCTGAGCCTTTCCTGTACTAAAAACATCCTGTCAACAATTCAAGGCTAAGTTCTAATTTTCTGTGAACCAATATGTAGTTATTTCATGGGAGTCAAAATAAATTCAACCTCAGGTCGAATAAAATCCATGAAAGCCTCCGATTTCTAGAAGCAAGGGTTTTCAGAGTCAGATATGAGTTAAGTATGATTTAGGCACACATTAGTCTTCACAACAAGCCCATTGTTTCTGTTAAATACTATAACAAAAACAACCTTAAATAAATAGGAAACATTTTGATGGAATTTTGATAAAAAATGTCAGTCTGAAAGGCCTGTGCACTCCTGTAGGAACTCTCCAAAGGCATACTTAATTAAAAGGATTGTGAATATATAATAGGCAGACAGTCCTCTCATTGAAGTTGAGGTTTAATGTCAGATACTGTTATGATCAGTATGTAAGCATAACTTTGATATAATCCAAGGCTTTCTTTCTATTGTTTTGCAGCAGCGTCAATGACCCCTGTGTGTCTGCAGAGGAGTAGTTACGCAAACATTACTGCCCTGAGTACTTCACATTAGAGCTGCAATTATTAATAGATTAGTTCTCATTAATTAGATGAATTGAAAGCTAATTTGATCATCGATTCATTGGTTTGAGTAATTAAAAAAACGTTGAAATTTTCTGATTCTAGCCTCTTAAATGTGAATATTTTCTGGTTTCTGTACTTCTTTATGAAAGTAAACTGAATATCACTGGGTTGTGGACAAAACAAGATCACGTTGGGACATTTTGCAACATTTTCTGACATTTTACAAACCAAACTAATTGATTAATTGATAGATAAATCGACAAAGAAAACAACTGTTCTTCACATATATGCTGCTTTTATAATCTGCTGTGTGTCACACAGGAATAGGAAGAGAAAGTTGGTTATAACACTAAAGCTTGGCACTTAAAGGCAAGCCTCTATAACACCTGCTCCAAATTTAAAATTACAGCTGTACCAGCATGGACTCACATATCTAAAACTGAAATCAACACATACTGGATTATAATAGATGGCCAATACAGAGCAAGTATTTCATTTAAAAGTTTATATAAATATCAAGTATGTCAACGCATGAAAATATCAAAGTATGACAGTGGTAGATATCACCATCCCTGTGCAGTTTTAATATTCTTTTCATACGATGTCAAGTCAGCTGTTTTCAAAAGATGAATCAGGTAGGAGCATTAAAACATAAACACCCTAAAAATGGGAAAGAATGTCCTCCCACTGATCCCAGTCTGTCTTCACAGACAGGAGCCATGTCTACCTCTGACACCAGTGCAGATCAGGCTTCAACCTGGCACCCTACACATCTGAAGCCACCATGATACTGTACCAAAACTTCCCATTCAGTCCAGCCTTCAGCAGCTGAGACTACACCGACCAAACACTACACCTGAACTTTGCTAGACAGTGAAATCTGTGAGATCTTTGCTTTGGCACCAGCACGCTCTTGGCCCCTCTTTGTTCACATGGTGTGACAGCTCTGTCAGGACTAGAGACCAATCACAAGGACACGGGCATGGCCTGTCTCCAGCACAAGCACATAATCTCAACCCTGCGTGAACCTTGTCTCAGCAGTACTGCCAGGTGCCCGGTAGGGGGCGTACAGTGCGAGGATGGGCGTGGCATTTACATCATAGTCATTTGCATAGTCTCCTGCAGATGGCAACAATGAAGCCAATTCACCCCAGTACCACAACAACACAAACGATGAGGTCTGCTATCTTGCATGGAAATGATCATGAATGAGTCTTATCGACACGGTGATGGGAAATCTAGTTGGACAGCGTTATTTAAGTGCACCAAAGAGGCATGCAAAGATTGTTGAGGGGGGAAACCGTGGACTCTATATCCTGCAATTCATGGTTAAAATAAAAGAAGAAAACAGTAACACAAGCATGTAGACCCACAGCACTGAAACGCACAGATGAGCGTATTAAGAATTGCATAAGAATGTTACTCGACCTTTCATCCCCTGCAAGCTCAGAGTCTGTCATGTTTTTGTCAAGAACAGGGGCTGGGGGACTGGAAACAAGGCTCACAGAAGCCATTGGCAAACGGATCTGCCTCCTTTCTCTCCGGTAACGTTACAAGAGTGAATTATCTCAGTCACTCAAGGAGACGTTGGGTTGTGAGAGATGCTGGAAGATTTCAGACTGGAGAAAAACTCACGGTGTTACATGTCTCGACAGAGACAGTAAACAGACACTCTCCTCTTTCATATCAATGACGTTTTAACTCTGTGAGCGCAGCTTGATACCCCGCTTTGCTAATGTCCCGTCGGTTGACAGCTGCCATGGTGAAATAGAGGAGACGGTGGGAGAAACAGACAGAAATGTAACCATGTTCGTTGATTTCAGCATCTTCATAGGCTTTCTCAACAGGGACATCATCTCAAAATGGCTTCTGAGGTCTGCAGCACATTCCTGGATCATGTATTCCTCCACGTATATATAGTCCTACGCGGATCTACCTAACATGGATACAGCAGCTTCTCGTCAGCTATTGGTCAGGCATCGCACGAGCCAAGAGAGCTGCGATTCTTATTGGCTCAAAGCAATGTCAGTTATTTTCAACATCTGCAACAATGAAGTGTATACGACGCTTAGTTTTGTCCTTTGTCAGTGTTTTAATTTAGGACCGTTTGTATTACGCAGTTTTAACGACCGGAGTTTATGGCGTTTTTAAAGACAACACAGCTGAAGCTAATTCGCCTTATCGCGTTATTAGTAGCTACGTATCTATTCCTTGTTGTTTACGCTCACGAACTCGCGCGCGCACGCAGACGCGCACATCCTTGGACGAGCTCGACTTCTCGCGCTCGTGCAGTCCTGTCTTTGACCACCAGGTGTCGCTCCGACTCCACAAGCCAAACCCTAAAAGACGTACTGTGCAACGGTAACATTGAGCCAATAAAAATAATGCACGTCCAGTTAAATGTTTACTCAGTGGACTAACAACAGGCCTCAGTTGTTTCTAGTTCACAAACACTGTAGCCAGAGTTAGGGACTGTTCGTTATTTATGAGGGGGAGGGTGGTGCAAGACGGGGATGAATGTCAAATATTTTTTTAAGCACTGGGGAGGGACTTGTGTTTTTTATTTTGGCTTCAGGGCTAGACATACAACTTTCAATAGTAGTGTTTTGTTTATTTTAAATACCCTGTTGCTAACGAGTTTGAAAGGCATGTTTTCTTTAAAAATTGCCCAAATTACACAATTCATTATTGCTAGAAACTGTAAAAACAACAATTATCATTGGTTTTTGGAATATCTGATGGTCCTTGAAGAATAAAACTTGAAGAAAAGACTGCACACTGTCTAACTTGCAAAACTAATGATTTTAATGCTGCTGCAACGTTTCTGCGACTAGACATTCATCAGGCAACTACCTGACAGTGTGCAGGAGTCTTTTCTATAAGTTTTATTCTTCTCGTCCCTCTCCTGCGCACCTGTTTGAAAATAGATGTGCAAAGTATTCCTTCATTTTGATGGTCCTTGAACACAGTATGTGTGACTCCATCATCAAAATCACTTCCTCTACATGTCTTATTTAAAAATGTCATCAAAAATAAACCATTTACACCAACCAAATCCTTTAAAAACAATAAATTCTGCACACCTGCATGCAAGACTATAGTGAAAAACCAAGTGTTTTTTCAACTCCAGGATTTAATTTTTCAACATTTAACCTTCAAACATCAAAGGGTAGGTTTTTAAAATGGTATAACATCCACCATGCCAAGTTACTGACACTGCCACTGTTGTGTACTGTTATATAAAAATGTTGTTGGTGCTAGCTTTGTGCACAATGTAATATTTGTACATGCATGCCTGTGTGTGTGTATGTGATTGTTGTGTAAGCTTATAAATTTTGTTGGTTTTCTGTGGTAGGACCAATGACAGGTGGCTTTTGTGCACCTATATTCTGCTGAAGTGCACATACACTTGTGTAATGATGCAATTTGGAGGATTTGCGTTTTGCTTAAGAAATTTGCTGTTTGTTTTGGTGAAACTCTCACCCCTCTGCTGTTTACTCGTTGCATTGGGTCCAATACATGTAGCCTCTAAAGTATGCATATACTTCAAATAAATAAAAGGTTGTTCATGGTGGAGGGAGGGTCATGCATGTGCCACAGTTATTCAGAGAGGCCCAAGGAAAAATAAGATAAAATAAACAAAATGAAGTCACACTGCACCCACCCCCCTCCCCTGATGAGTAGAGTACAGTCCCTAAGTGTTAGCTCTGTGGCAGTGATCTGATGCTATAGACAGATAATTGGTCATGTTATGTGTGTTTAGCCGACTATGGCAATCTGCAGCATGACGACCTGTGTCACAATAATCATCATAATATGTGGAGGAATGCAGCTACTCTGAAGAGATCCAGTCCTTTGAGCTTATAAAGAAAGGTAAACATTTTTTATTCTTTACAGTCGTGTAAACAAACGCAATTTAGGTCATATTACACTCTTGCAACACACCAGATAGAGCTGGCTCTACATTGTGGTAAACTGTGCTTGGCAGCAGCAGAGAGATGTAAAGAGAAAAACATAGACATTTTTGGGAGTATGTCGGTGGGAGGGATTCCTGCTGCAGGAGGAAACCCAGTTGGCGTGCAGAGCTCAGAGGCTGAACTTTCCGAGCGCGCAGATAAAGAGACGGGAGGGAGCGCATCTCTGTCTCAGACACCTGATGAGCATCCTCCAGACTCGTGAAAGCAGCGGACAGAGCTTCACAACAGAGAGCTGCTGCTTGGATTTAATCGAAGCACCATAAACAAGAAGGCTTCTAAATCCTGGGAAACACCAACAGGGAACTGCATTACTGTATTATTATTATTACTGGACTCTAAAAGATGGCACTGTCTTTTCGACGCAGGTGTTTACTTTTGCTGTGTTTGACAGCCATCCAGTGTGGTCATGCTGCCGTTCAGGTAAGAGTTATTTACATTATTTTACATAACAACTTACTCATAGATCTACAGCTTGGGCAAACTGAATCAGAAAAGAGTGATAGCCTTTCAAATCTCAAAATCTGGGCAATCCATATTTGGGAAACATTCATAAATGTAAAGAAAAGTAATCCATTTAGATACCTTAATGCTGTTATCCATTAAAAACAAGTTATCCCAACCAATAATTTAATTGTTCTTATTCTGTTTTAGCTTTCAATCCAATTGTAAGTCTGTGTATTACTGTAAGTTTTGCAGGGTTTGTGATTACAGTCTACAGTTTCCACTGGAGAAAGTATTTGATGCTTTTTGCTTTCCCAAAAAACTTCTCCTGTAGCATCCAGATAAGAGTCCTCATTCTTGTCAACTGGAAGCATTTCCCCTTTTGCCTGGAGCAGGTAAAAGGAGCAGAGCACTGTGTAACTACTGGTCCAAACTATGTGCACAATGAATGTTAATGTATTGAAGCTAGTTGTTATTGTACAAAGCCCTCCAAATGCCAAAGCAGGAATTCAAGGTATGCTGCTCAGAGGAATTGTTCCAATGAGCATGTGATTAATAAACCCTCCTGAAAGGATTAGAGGCACTTTCCTCTGAGGAACTTTGTAATAGCTTGTCAAGCTCTCTTCCTCAAGTAACTGCTCGTGGCATCCATGCTATTTTCAGTCTGGCCCATTCAGGATTATCCAATGAGCATGTGCCTTCCTACCGCCATGCAAAATATACAGAGGAACAGCATTTTGGACTTAGGTCCCATTGACATCTGCCCGGCAGCTTTTGTCCAGCTGCGTCTGCCACTAGAGTTGTGATAGTGAGTGGAAAAGGGTAAGGCAGAGAGGAAGAGAGATGGTGGGCTTAGAATACCTCACATGTGAGTGCAATGAGGTGTGATGGAAAGCAAATGTAGTACAAATCATGGTGACTGTGTCATGCATGTACATTAAAAACTGCCAGTGTTACATAATGTATTTTAATATCAATGAAAACTCCTTGTAACCATAACAACCATGTCCCCACCAATAAGATGGATTCAGTTTCAATTACATCATGCTCCACAGCTGCACATTAATGTTTATTCGCAGTTCATGTTTTAAGTTTTACGACCGTTAAACTGAGGTAACCGCTCGTTTTCTTGTTGGAAAGTTGTTGCATTTTGAAATGTTTCGCCAAGGCTCTTTTATAACTCTTAACTCTGCTCACAGTGCGCATGCTTTATCCACAGACGTGCATGGATAAGCACCAGGTGGTTGGGGTGCTTCGTCAAATGGAGAAGTTTCTGAAAGGCCAGGAGATCCGGTTTACAGAGGGCCTCAGGATCATGAAGTCAAAGCTGGCAACTCTTCAGAACTCTGTCTCCAAGTTGCCTCAAGCTGACCAGTCAGCTGGTGAGTAATAAACAGATAACAACACACATTGTCACGCAATTCATCATATTCTCTTAATCATTGACATCTTTAGAGGCTTTTTCCTCAGCAGACATTTTGACTTGTCATAGTTGGAAACGGAGAGGTGTGTCCCAGTAAGTCATGACAGTGTGACAGTAATACCAGGACCCTGACACTGACGCAGCCATCATTCATTTATTACATCTGTGCTTTTCCCAGTGTCACTTGTCAAAGTGTCTTCTCCTGAAGGTCTTAATCGCAATCTTTATCAACTTGTTCTTACAGTTGTTGATAATTACCAAAGGAGTTAAATACAATATCCAGAGGGGTCTATGATTCAGACATTGTCTGCACACGGCTCTCAACATGGAGGAGTTGGCAGATAGCAGCTAATGGTACTAACAGTGCTGACAATGGTGGGCACTAAGCTTCTGTCTCCAGGTATAAACAAGTTCAATTTAAGACTTTTTAAGACCCTTTTAATACCACTTTAAATGAAATTTAAGACCAGACTTGCAATGAAAATACACACCAGAAGTGAAAATATACTCTTTCCAAGTACACACATTGATGTCAGTTCAAAATGAACAGTAAAAATGACCCTGACGATACTTCCTGTGTTTACAGCTCTGCATGTGTGATTCCACTGAACTGATTCCCCTTGTACCTAGTTTGAATCACCTTCAACATACAGCGCAGTTTGCGTCATAAACATTTCAAGGCACTGGCTTTAATCACCACAAGTAATAATTGTTATTCTTTTAAGCTATTTGTCCTTACACTTTCATAGCTTGCAAGGTCCTAGTTTAACGATGCAGACTCATTGCATGATGTAAGTGCATTAAGGGTGCAAAAATAGGGGCATTGCGCACATACAGGTGTTGTGTCAAAGTCTGGTACCCCGTCAAAAAGTGTTTCTCACCTGTTGAAATGATGTGTCCTGTAGCACCACCACCAAACATTCTATCGTTGATGTGACTTAAAAGACATTTAAGACCCATTTCAATATGAATATAAGACATTTTAATACTTTTTAAGGCCTTTTATTAGTAAATGTTTATTTAAGACATTTTAAGACTTTTCAAGGACCCGCAGCCACCCTGTGAATATCATGTAGAGCTCCTTTATGTCCAACTGACTCACTTATCCTGGCTGATGAGACCTCTGCACAGGTTGATGTTGGGCAGAGCTATATCAGGATGTGCATAATGTCGCCACAATGTTACATATATTCTGTATGTATGCATGAATTTTAATACTATTAAACTATAGAAATTATGACAACTATGTTGTTGGATCTGCTATTTTACAATAAATTTGGTAATGGAATTGGTAAATATCCATTTTTTAATTTGTGTCTCATTGCTCAGGTAAATAAACAAATGAATCAGTGCCATTTTATCAGTAGAAGTTTGTTTAAAGGCTGTCACAGTTGTCTACATGCAGTTGACTGTTCTCTGCTTATCTGATCATTTGGCACAAATATAGAGATAAATGCTTTGATTTTTATTTATGTATTTCATATTTATGCAATTTTTGTGTTGTCTTAAAAAGTGGTAGTGGTGGAAGTCTTTAAGTTAAAAGATATAAATACAATGATAACATCAATTAAATGTCAATTGAATTATCTGCCAGACGCCGTACTGATATTGTTTCATGGTAACTGTATGAAATAGATTATATAGTCATAACTTCATACACATTCTTGTATGCTGTGAAATTGACATACCATGGTGTGATAGGCTGCTACAAATACAAAATAGACGTCTTTATCTGTTCCACTGGTCATGTAACACACAGGATATGGTTGGCTGTAAAACTATGAATCGTATTTGGATTATTTTCATTTATTTTAGTTGACAATCCATGCTGTATTTTCGTTTCACATGGGTGCATCATGTGACTGAGGTTATGTTCAGCAACATAACAACACTAAAGTATCAAATTTACAACATTTTGGGAACATTCAATTGTTTGAAGTTGATCTTCAGAAAGTTTTTTTGACAATAGAGAGCCAGATATTCTATTAAGGGATTATACATTCATCCAACAGAGCGAGGCCATCTCGATTACAGAGCTGGGTACGTGACAGGGGAAGTGGATTTGTGGAATTGTGTTGTTTGGCAGCAGACACTGAGGCCAATTTGTTAGTGATGGACCAGTGCAGTTCATAACTCTGGAGAGTACTTGGCAAGACAAGAGGAAGCTGATATTTTACATTTATACCAATAAAGCCTCAACAAAATTAAAAGGCAAAAGTCAAAGTATTGCACCACCTGCTTTAAGCCCTCAGAACAGGACAAAAATCCACATTAAAATAAAAACTGTAATCCATTTTCGATGTAGATATAGCTGGGGTCGGCAACTTCTACGATCAAAAGAACCATTTTTGGCCAAAAAATAAAATCTATCTGGAGCTGAAAAACTTATTGAGCTTTATAATGAAGGTAATACAGCCTATTAAGTTTAAATTAGCCTATAAACATTACTAATAGGTCAAAATGAGCATTCATAATATGTTTTACAAAAGAGGGCGACTCTGCAGAGGGCTTTCTGTGATTATTTTGTACTTTAACTTTGCAGTGTTGGCTGTAAAAGCAAACAAATCTGTCCACACACTATTAACTTCTTTGTTTTCCTCAGAGACTCTTTCTCTTTGGGATTTGGAGTCAATAGCTAGCCTGTAGGGAGACTCACATCTAGCCATCACTATTGAGGTTGCCTTAAAGATACGGCAATCATTTTACATGATGAAATCGTAAAACATTATGTTTAGTCAGTGCATAGGCTACTGGAAAATTTAAGGATCACTTTAGGCCTACAACAATGAAAAGTAGAGGTTAAGTTATTTTTTGTTAAAGCCATGGGAAGAAGGGCTAAAGCTCAAAGAATATAGATTATAATTTGATAATAATGTTATTCAAATGATACTGTGCAGCATTCCCCATCTTCTCTCGGTACTTGTCACCATTAGCGTAGTTAGCTTATTCTACTGTATGTGCTTCCCTGTATGCAATAAATGCAAGAAAAAAAACATTATACACTTAGTTATCTCTCATGCCCCTGTGACATCATGCTCAAATGTAAAGTGGTCAGAAAAAGTGAGTTTTCATTATACTATAAACACAAGCTGGGTATGATGGGGGTCGGGCCATGTGAGATTTATTTATCATATAGTATCTTAAAGTGTACAGGCACTGGTTTTCACTTGAGGTTGAAAGTATAGGAAACATTTTGTCCTAGTTGGATGGAGCATAAATTCACATAAAAAAAGTAATTCATTTACAATGTTATGTAATGCAATTGCGTTCTATATTACACAAGCCTTAAAGTTTCCAGAGCATGCAACATAGCATAACATTTGGCTGCTGCTGAAATTCTGACTCATAAAAAATGGCCGGTGCCATGCTGTTTGACTGTAAATGAGGCGTTTGAACCATCCTCTCCCATGAAGGCCCCGCACTGCCCAGTGACACGTGCGTATCCTCAGGCAGAGAATGCCAGAGGATGTCGGGAGGCTTACTCCACATGTGACCAGCCTCCCCTCTCATGCTCTCTTTCTCTCTTCCACAGCTCCCACCACCTGCCCCTCTCTGGAAGCCCCCGCTCACGGAACCAAGTTTGGCTCAAAGTATTTTGTCGGACATGAGGTCCATTTCACTTGCTCCCAGGGCTACCATCTTGTCGGTTCTGCCACTCGTGTTTGCCAGGACAACGCCACCTGGACAGGCATCAGTGCCATCTGTAAAGGTGAGCAAGATACAGGAACTCCAGGTCTGTTCCCCCGCCACAAATCCTCAGTTTTAAGCATGATACAGGTGAGGAATGCAGTATCACTTCAGCTGAGCTGCGGTATGTTTTCATCACAGGATCAGGAGCTTTTCAGCCTTTTCACCCAGTCATGACTTTCTCCACATATAAACACACATCCACACATCCACCACCACCTTAATATGATTTAGTGGAATGTTTCCTGCCATGTCTGTGCATATTCACTGTTGAGCCGAAATCCCAGCACCAATTTAGTGCGACCTTGGCTCAACAGTGTCTGGATGCCAGGCTGAAAGACACGGCAGCCCAAAAGCCAACCTGAGCTACACACACACACACAGAGTGAGAGAGAGATAACAGGCAAAGAAAAGAGGCATTCTTTAGAGTGGCTGGAGCTCCTCGACATACTGAATGAATCCCTCGTTAAAATGGCATTAAATGTCTCTGAAAACAGAAAAACACCTGTACTGCATTCCACTGTGGGGTGCCTTACCCTCCAGCTTTCTGCTCCTCATGCACAGCAGTGCTTGGGCTACTGTAAGATAAACCCTACCTCTCTTGCTCATGTTTCCCTGGTCCTTTGACAGCAGTCCCACTGGACGGGGTTAGGTCCAGACATTATACCCACATCATGGTCTGATAGCACACAAGTATGCTAAGCATGCTATTGATAGCCCTTTCAGCCTGTGCCGGTGGCACTCTTCCAGAAATTCCAAGTGGCGCACTCAGTCAAACATGTGCATATGTTTATTGACATTAATGGTTAAAACAACACGAGAAGGCTCGACTCTGCACAGTATTATCCCTGTTCATGTTTTTCAGCCCGGCATAAGAGGTCTAAATTTAGTCATGCTTAAAAAGCAGTATTGACGGAGTGTGAAAACTTTAAAGTTAAGAAGAGTTTAAAAATATCAAGCAGAGTGAAGTGGGCCTTTTCATGTCATGGCCCTGTGGTGGCCTCAGGGGAAGCCAAATAAACATTAAAGGGATTGGTTGTCATCCAGTAGACTGTGGCCTCAGAGAGCAGAGACTGCTTCATAATTTGAACATCTGCAGAATTCAGAAAGTCGGCTACAGTGACAAAGATCATAAGGCATGGTGGACTAATTTTTCTACCTTCTGTTGTTGTCACCAGTTTGCATTTGGTAGTATTTCTGTATACACTAACAGCACATTCATACAGGTTTATCATCTACTGGGCCACTATTTGATCATTAATCAAGCTAAGTGCCACAAGTAAGACAATAAACTGCACTACTGTACTCACACACTCACAATCAAAGCCATGTTATATCAATCTGCACATGTCCAGCTGGAGGCCATAAAAACACTTGTAAAGAAGTATGAATGACGTTTGTGTGAAAATGTGAGTTGTATTGCTGTAAACCTTTACAAGTTTTGCAGAGAGGAATAACGTCCATATAGACCAGGGGTTGGCAACCTTTACTATCATAAGAGCCATTTCTGACCAAAAATAATTTTCAAAAATCTGTGTGGAGCCACAAAATATATTTGAGACTTTTAATGAAGGTAAAAAGGCCTATTAAGTCCAAATTAGCCTATAGTCTAAATGATCATTCATTCATGTCTTACCACAAGGTAACGACTCTACAGGGCACTGTTCATGATTATTTGGTACTTTATCTTTGCAGAGCTGGCGGTGGAAGCAAACAAATCTGTCCGCACACTACTAAATTCTCTATTATATTCTGAGACTTTTACTTTTTTGATCTGGCATCCATAGCTAACCAGCTAGGACTCAAGACGAGCCTCTGCTGTGGAGGTTTGGCACAATTTCAAGGCAAAGGTGCCAGGCAGTAGATGTGTTACACACATTTTAGTTATTTTCATTTGGTTTGGAGGCTTCACAGTTTTACAATTGGAGAATGCAAGAGTTTCTTTAGGCCTACAAAACTGATATATAAAAAATAAAATGTTAAAAAACATGAACATTACTCATTTCCATGTATTTTTTTTTGTCAAGGAGCCACTGGAGCGGTGCTAAAGTGCCACATGTGGCTCCGGAGCCTCAGGTTGCCTACCCCTGATACAGACCAACACAAACAACTCAAACTTTGAAGATGCAGACAGATTTGACTAAATTACTAATTATTGAATGACTAATAATAGTCATTACCATTAGATTGCATCAAGATAACTACTACTTTTCCTCGAATGGAAGAAATAAAAGAGCACCGCTGCCTTACTGTTGACATGCTGTGCCCATAATGACAGTACCAGCTTCTCATTCTTAAGTATTAGTTATCAGACTGGGTGGACACTCATTGCCGCCCTATAGATTAATGGTGGGTGGAAAAGGCTTACAGAGGCTCTTTAATTTTGTTGATGCATTTCTTTTTCTTTCGGGATCTAGTCTTACCATCCCTTTTCTTTATGTGGTTAGATAGTTTTGGCTGCAGATCATTCCAGCCGACCACTGTGTTGGTCTTCTTTATTTTGTCATGGTTGACAGAGGCACACTGATAGGTTGTGAGGATGTCTCTGGTTATTTTTTTCAACACTCACAGCTGCAAATGTAGACACACGAGACTTCAGCCTGAGGCAAAGATTACATAATGAAAGCAAGGTCGAAAGTAGTGCCAAAACTTGATGTTTTTGCCTGCCTTTGATCGGTATGCATCAGTCTGATGAAAAAAGGAAACAGGAAGCTGCGAGTTTCTCAGCAAGCTGACCACAGTGATATTTCTCCCGCTGCTACACCCACAGATATAAGTGAGTGTGCAAGTAACCCCTGCCAAAATGGAGGAACCTGTGTGGAAGGTGTTAACCAGTACAAATGCACCTGCCCCCAGAACTGGAGTGGCTCTCACTGTCAGCACCAAACCCAGACAGGTCAGTACCACAGCTACCACAATGACTCTTTGTTTAGTTTGTATTTGCATGTCAGTCAAGACTACATGTTTACAATGTGTTAAACTCTAGATCAAATGTTAACACAGGTCTTCAACTTGCATATCTTCTCCCATAATGCAGCACCACCTGAGTGGAGTGTCATGAATGATCCAGCGTTCAGCCGGAGACCTCGCTGTGCCCAAGTGAACCAGGCCCAGCACTGCAGCTGTGATGCAGGTTTCCACATGAGTGGCACCTCTGACAACAGTATCTGTCAGGGTAAGCTGTAATTACGTGTCACTTAATTGATCCCTGTGGGGAAATACTCCTTTTGCTGCTCCACCTCACAGGGAGGTAAGGTCAGCTACAGAGCACTTCCCTCGAGCTGGTGTCCCGCTCAACAACATCTCAGCAGGGCAAACAGCAGCTGTTACGGGGACTTTACTGCCGAGACGATCCCAGAAAAATACCTGAATCTTTTACTCCTCTAGTGATTTATATGGTCAATCAAAGTAATCTGTGGAGCCCGTCTGTGAAAAACAAAATAATCCTCTTGAGAGGTCACAAGCTGATTAGCATCCATTTAGGTCACAGTTCAGTTGCTTTTAAGATGTAATATATTGAGTAACATTTTGAAACAATATTTGTCATGTAGTTTTCTCCAATGTGTTGATGTCCAAGATGCAGAAGGGCAAACCTAAGGCATATAAACACTGACGAAACACCAAGAAACAAAAACAACATTCTTTGGTTCCTCAGAGCGTGTTTTAAACTGTATGAGGTGTTTGTGCTACTTTTAAATGCACAATGCATTGACTTAGTCATGTGATGCATGTTTCAGATGTGCATTTCTGTGTCTGTTTCCTGACAGATGTAAATGAGTGTGAAGTGTACCGGCTGGACCAAGGAGGGAAGCTGTGCATCCACGAGTGTGTGAATGTCCCGGGCTCGTACCACTGCTCTTGCCCCAATGGCTACAAGTTACTCCCAGACGGGCGGAGCTGTGAGGGTGAGTGACAAGAGGGAATAGAGGACAAAGGCTCATTCACAGAGCCCTGGCTGCAGATCTGGCCGGGTATGTGGCTCCAGAGAGAAATACCTGTGACTTAAAAAGACGAGGAGCCTTTAGCAGCAGAGCTATTAGTTTCTGCAGAGGTGTCTGTCAGCCCCAAACCTCATTACCACTTTCATTTGCACCCCTGAAGCTTACACTGCTTGCCAGTGGAATGAATGACCTCACCCTTTCCCAGCAGAGAAGGGATCTTTAGGACATGAGGCGTTTGTGGGAGACTAAACTAAAAAAACCAAATAAACAATCACAGCACCCCCTGCTTAGGCTGTGGTAACCAGGAAGCAGGGAGTCAGTCTGGCAAGTCTCTCTCCTCCTCTCATTCTTACAAGCCTCCGCTGTTTTTGTCTTCCAGATGTGGACGAATGTTTAAGCCAGCAGCACAACTGCAGCCGAGGGACAACTTGTATCAACATGGGGGGAGGCTTTCAGTGTGTCAACCCAGAGTGTCCCCGTTCTCATGGCAACATCAGCTACGTCAAGACATCTCCCTTGTAAGTGGATACACCCCGATGTGACCTTGTGGCGTTCTTTGTCATGTTTTCGAGAGCTGTAGCGAAAAAATAAACCAGGATCACATCGTCCACGTGTCAGCAGGAAATGGTCATTAACTTTCACATGACCCCGCTCATACTAAATCAGACCCAACTGCGAGACACTAATGGACTCCTGGTGGACATTTTGACTTGGAAAAACAAGAAAAGCTTAAACTGACCACTGATATATTCAGGTGTTCCAGTAAACTACGCCAGTGAGCCAGCATGCACAATTAGAGGGTAAAATACACGTATCATTTGTCATTGAGGAGGTGCACTTGAATAAGGTGTTACAGCCTCAGAGTTCTCCAGCACAACTACGAAAACTGATTCAAGTTGGGACTTAGTTTTGGCCATCATCGCTATGGTCAAAATAACATTAAACTCGCCATGGTAACTGCTGAGATCTGGCGACGCAGCAACATCACTAACTGCCAAGTTAACCAAACTTTTTTCTGGAAGAGAAATCAAAGACTGCAGATGAAACCATAACTAGAACTGTTATAAACATCCATCACGGTTTATCAACCAACCTCTCTGGTCTACTGTCACTTGCAGTGGTTGCTATAGATTATTGCAAACATGTTGCATGCACATTAAAATGTTTAGGCGTCTGGCTAAATTGTTGACTGTTGTTTATAACCTGTTTGATCGTCTGACTGGTGGAGACTCTTTTAGTTAATGTCCCCGTGCCCCCATATCTTACTTTGGTAAATACAAAGTTATTATGATCAATTGAAATGATGACAGTCAAACCAAAGAGTTGTGGTCACAGCTGTATCACAGTGAAGCAAATCATTTCTGACAAAGAACGTGCATGCTCAGCAGAACTTGACCAGATGACGTTCATGTTTTTTTTCTTCCTTTTTCTTTCATAAACCATGTATAACATCTGTCTCCTGACCAAAAGTTTAAAGACATTATAACTTCCATCTCCGTATTTGCCAGTCATCAGCAAGCTGCCTCATTTAAAACCATGAAACAAAGCTCTGTCTGCTTCTACTGAACCATCAATGTGGTGAAATACTGCTCCACCGCCAGCAAAGGGAATGAATAAATGTTTGGGAAAACACTTGTAACAAGGGAGAAAGCAGGGAATTGAGTAAGACAGTAGCTGTGTCCCCATTTCATAATAATGCTGTGCAGGTTTTGAGATTGTAGCGCACGGGGATGGAAGTTTGGAAATACTGCACACAAAACAGAAAACACTTCACAGCTTACTTTGATCCAAGACTTCAGGCCACATGACCTCATATGTACTGTATGTATGTGTGTCACTTCTCTTAAGTCACAAAGAAACCGTTATAAACACTTTCCCATGGGGATAGGTTAATTATATAATCGTTTTCTTAGAGGAAAAAAATGGCTGCGTTATGTGACAACTGCCAAACACACTGGAAAACATTTGCCACCATGCTCTGTGATGCAATTTCTTAAAGGGACAGTTCACCCCAAAATCAAATATGCCATTTTTTTTCTCTTACTTGTGGTGGTATTATCAGTCTGGATCATTTTGGTGAGAGTTGCCGATTGTTGGAGATATCATTCAAAATGATGTCTGCCTTCTCTCAGATATAATGGAACTAGATGGCACTTGGGTTGTGGTGCTCAAAGTGCCAAAAAATACATTTGAGAAACTCAACAGCAGTGTCTCTCTCCAGAAATCATGATCCGGTTACTCAAGATAATCCACAGACCTTGTTGTGAGCACTTGCAAGTAGGAACTATTTTCTTTCTACTGAGCTACATCCGCCAAGCGTGACACCGTGCAGAAGGAAGCGTGCATCTAGTTCCATTATAATCAGCTGTCCCTCTAACATTTCCTACATTTCTCTCCGCAGTCAGTGTGAGAGAAACCCCTGCCCCATGGACAGCCGCTCCTGCCACCTGGCTCCTAAGACCGTGTCCTTCCACTACCTGTCTCTGACCTCCAACCTGAAGACTCCTGCAACGCTCTTCCGTATGGCGACTGCCGCCGCCCCAGGGCGCACCGGGCCGGACAGTCTGCGCTTTGGCATAGTGGGAGGAAACTCCCGAGGCATGTTTGTGATGCAGCGCTCAGACAGGCAGACGGGCGAGCTGATACTGGTCCAGCAGCTTCGCGGGCCGCAGGAGATCAGCGTCGATGTGGACATGTCTGAGTACAGCGACCGCACTTTTCAGGCCAAGCATGTTGCCAGGGTTAACATTCTGGTTTCACCTTACAACTTCTGAGAGCGAGCTGGAGAAGGAGGAAGACCAGAAACAGGAAGGTGATGAAGAACAAGAAAGAGTGTAATGGGCACTGAGTTTACTGATACTGTTTCATTTGTCTGAGAGGCCATTCACAGGCCAGCATCTGTTCGGTGCCCAAGTTACCAAAAGAAAGTGACAAGCCAATATTTAACAGTTATAATAAGAATAACAATATATGGCTAAACACATCATAGATGCTTCTTTTAGTGTCAGTATGAGCTTTGACTGATGTTTGACTGAGTGTGTTTGGATGCATGAATGTGCAGGGAGGGATGGAGAACTGTGTTTGTCGTTGCTGTTGCTTTATGTTTGTATTTTTATGTCCATCATAGATCATATCTGTGTAGCTCAGGGTCCGGCCCCGGGGCTGATGCACTGCCCTCGCTTTACTGACGATAAATCCCTATAAGACATTAGTGCTCCCGTGGCTCTAAATTATTGGAAATATTATTGCTGGATTATACATTGTAACATACTGTACGCCACATCTTCCATCATATACTGTATATTTGTTTTGTTTTGTACTAGCTTGCTTTGTTTAAGGCACCATCCATTATACTAAGGGAGTTTTTATTTTTAACAGTATGCAGTACTGTACCTGGGCATATTTTCTCTATTACTCATATTCTGTATGTAACCCAGAAATCACTATATCCTAAATCAAAGATGATTTGGCAAGCTTGCAAATGCACTACACAATTTATCTGGAATTTTAATTGTCTCTACATATCTGAAATAAAGTCTAACTTTTCAGGATTTGTTAGAACTACCTCACTTGACGCTGAACAGTGTGCTATTAAATGTCCCCGTGGCAGTGCTTGTTTTCATTCTACATCCATTATGAGTGAATTTTAATGAGTGAAGTCCAAACCAACGCATAGTTGATGAATGAACGCTGGATGGCTATAAAAAGTGTTCTGACTGAATGGATGAAAGGTTAGAGAGGAGGAATGTGTGTTTTATAATATAATGCCTGAGGCAGAAGTTCACAGACAATACAAGCCAAAGCAGCGTTTCCCCACATGTCTCGGGAACAAAAGGAGTTTCACAGTGTTTCTATTTGATTTTAATACACGGAGCAGGAACTGTCACATTTTAAAAACATATCTCAGTGTGTCTGCTTGTTAGAGAAAGAAGAGACTAATGTTCACCACATGTGTTCTCTTAACTTCCTTCACTTTGTCCTCCTCTCGCATCTCCATCCAGGGGTTTACATTGCAATAAAAGGGGCCCGAAGAGCTGCATGCTTCCAGGAGGGAGTGGATGGTGAGAATCAAAACACATGCCCCGACGGACGGTACACACGCTGCTCTGAAAATGACAACGTGTCTTAATGGCAGGCTAATTTCCTTCAGTAACCTTACCAGGAGGGCTCACATTGCAGCCTTTGTTTCAGGCTTGTGCTCGGGCTGTTTGATGTTCACATGTTTCATCCATTCTGAAGCGGAAGGATATATTGCCAGGGATGATTGAAGTGCGCTGAGCTACATAACACAAGCCATTTGCTGGAGAGTAATGATAAAAATATACAGTAAGGGCCTTGAGGCAAAGCCAGGACAGAGTGTGGTTTACACTTGTTTTACGTCAGAGTCACAGAAACATGGTGACTTTAGTGCACCATCCATAGGGGAGTGGACAAAGTAACAGAAACAAAGAAATATATGCACACACAACGATATAGTGGACTTCAGTAAATACCAATTTGATGAAGCTTTTAACTGTAACTTTAAAGGGGCAGTCAACCCCCAAATCAAATCTAAATGTTTTTCCTATTACTTGTAGCACTATTTATCAGTCTAGATTGTTTTTGGTTAGAATTGCCAAATGTTGGAGATGTCAGCCGCAGAGATGTCTGCCTTCTCTCAGAAATAATGGAACAAGATATGGCAAAAAATATATTACAAAAAATAAATTTAAAAGCTCAACAGCAATGTCTCTTTTCATAAACCATGACCTGGTAACTCAAAATAATCCACATACCTTGTGAGCAGTTTCATGTAGGAACTATTTTCTTTCTATCCACCAGTCCACACCTACCAACCATATCACTGTGAATAAGGAAGTGTGCATCTACTCATGGACGAGAGGGTTGTGCTCGTAACAGTGCAAGATGTAAACATTAATGGCGCCCTCCTCAGCTGAGCCAAACAAATCACCACACAGAAGGAAGCGTGCATCTACTGCTAGCTCATGTAGTACCACTGAGCTAGATAACATTACAACTCACTTGACAAAGATGCCATTAATGTTTCCATCTCACACTGTCATTAGTTATAGTTCCTACGTCAAACTGCTCACTACAAAGTCTGTGGATTATCTTGAGTAATTGGGTCATCATTTCTGGAAAGAGACTACAAGCACCACAAGCTGAGTGCATATCTCCAACACTCAGCAATTCACATCAAAACAGTCCAGATTGATAAATATGTCTGGTGCTGGTAAGGATCTCTATGTGACCACTGTTCCCCTTTACAAATGCGAGTTCTCTGTGTCTTGATAAATGTCAATGCTGAACTTCTGGTCAAAATGGGCACAATAATTCAAATAAAATACTGGGCCAAAATATTTACAGTATCCTTATAAAAAATAGTTTGACTTTGCCCATTGAAGCACAAAATCATGAGTCAATCTGAAGTGAAGCAGCACAAACACTGTAAATCTATGGATCGCCATCAAAACAGAAAAGAGGCACGTGTCTCGCTGGTGGGTTTGTTCGTTATGAAAGGCACCAGAGAGGAATTTTGCTGCACTTCTATTATCCAGGAGAGGGGAGAGGTCGCCTGTGGATCATCTTTCATGCGGGAGAAATGTTTGGAAGAAATCCTGAAATATGTGAGGGTACTGGAAAGCAACACAAAGGTGCCTTTGCTTTTGTCTCTGACTTTGAAGTGGCCTATTATCTGCTGTTACGGGCCTTAGAATAATAATAGTTTTTTTTTTTATGTTTGGGGCAAAAAACTGTCTGATGCAATCTTATTATCAGCTTGAATAGAAAACATAGATGATGGATCAACAAGAAAACTGTTGTAAGAAATGAATGAATTCATGTAGCAGGTTGCTCAGATGAAGAAACCAGTCTCTATGGCTCTGGGACTCACAGGGCTTTTCTCAAAATCAGACCATGTTTTCCTTTTTGTCGCCACAAAAAGATCACAACAATTTTTATTGGTGATTTCATAATTGTATAGTTGCAGTTCAAATATTTGGGCTCTCAATGTTTGATCATTTTAACCAAAATACTGCGGCAGAGGCCCACAGCAAAGGAAAAGGGTGCAAATAAGCCCAACAGCTGGTATTAAGTGACGTCCATGTGATGTCCATGTTGAATAATCATGCAGCTTTAAAGAGCATTTTAATTTCAAAGGTTAACCAGTTTGGTCTCCATAAAACAACTTGTAATGTCAATATAACAAATACATTGGGTTGTTTGTGAATTTTATGCTGTTTCAGCCCTCTCGGTCACAAGCCTATTAAAGGCTAATGGCTTGAGAGAAACTCAGGGTTTATTTTTCAGCAAGTGGGCTTTATGAGAAGTCCCCTCACAGCATTTCAATCTGTGTTTCATTATCATTCATCATAATTTTTTACCTCACAATAGCCCATTCATTCAAACGTTTCTCCTATTTCTTCCTGAATCTGGTATTTACAAGGCAACTTTAAAAAGAAACAGATTTGAACTGACGTAGCAAAATCACAACCGTCGTAAAATATGCACTTTTATTTCCAAATTAATACTGAAAATCATAAGCCAGGAAACAAACATTCTCCTGTGTTCAATTAATATTTAATATTAATATTGTACACACTCCCCGAGAAGGAAGAGAGAAGAAAACTGCTGGTATGAAAAGTTCAAGCCCAGTTCTTCCGTGACACCCACGAAAGAAAAAAAGAAAAAGACGAGTCATATTATCCAGACACCTCTCCACCTGTGGAATTATGAAATAACAGGAATCAGCCAAAACCCATCTGTACAAATAATCGAGGTCCACTGCAGGTGTCTGCAGTTTTATATAACAGAAGGACAGCTTGCCATCAAAAGCACAATTACTCCAGGTTTCCAACCAATAAGAAAACGGAACAGTGACATTATAAACCCAAGTGATCAGCTTGTGCTTATGCTAACAACATAACTTATCTAATGTGTCATAATATGGGATGGCCTGCACAGAAAAAGTCCAACAACACACATGAAGACAACGAAAGTGTTCCAAAACTACACTGACAAAAACACCAGGGCAGCCATTTCCATAAAAATAACCAATATTAAGACTTATTTAACAGAACACGAACGTCATTAAGGTGTCTGTGAAACCACCACAATGATTTCTATCGGCAAAGAAAGCAAACTGTGCAAAGCAATGAGAAAGAAACTTCAATTTGCTGGCTGCCTAACACATTGCGAGATTGTTTGGGGTCCAGTGTGTTAAAATAAAATGGAAGCACACATCGTAAACACACTTGAGAGTAAACAGGGCTTAACACACTTTTAAACAACTTATAAGTACACTTGAAACACAAATAAATAATGAAATTATTCAACTCCATATTAATAGACATACAGTATATTGCTCCGTATTTCAGAAGACACAAACCTGCCCACCCACACACATACAGTAGATTCAAACCCCCGAATTCTACACTGCTGAACCCAGTTAACATTTAAATTGTACAAATCATGTGTTTGTGCTTCATCACCCTCACACACACCAATACTGAGGATGCCGGAGACATGGACGACACTTTCATACATATTGTTCTCAATTACCTGAACAGATTAGGCCTCATACAAGAACTACATGTAGGCACAGAGCTTAGATCCTCAAAGTGCATAAGAGCAAAATGTTCTATTCAAAATCAATGTGTTTGAATTTTTTTATCGTCTCAGATTTTAATGTTAGCAAAAAAAAAAAAAAAGGGTGTTCCAGACACTCAGCCACATGAAAAATACATACTGTTTACAGAGCTTCACAGCTATATATTTATACATGATGATCCTGTTTGAAATTAATGAATAAACACATTAGAGTCAAATTCTCTGTCTCTCGTCTGGCTGCAAAAATAGCTTTGATAAATCATTCCTATTGTTAATTACTGAGGAAAAAAGGCCTTTTGATTATTCTCCCATCATAAATAAGCATCTTATTTTATTACAACCGGCCAATAACATCTACATACCCTTAAAAAGACACTTAACATATATTAGAGAGTAGGTTCATGCATGAGGCCCACTGTTCCTAATTATCTGATCAAATAAATTCACATGAACAGAACAGAAAATAAATACAACACTTAATATAAAATGAAACATTCTCTTTGGAAAGAAAGGCTCAAAACTGATCATAATCAGGGAAATGGTGAACCAGTTGGTCAGTGAAAAGACAGTTTTCCTCTGGCAGAGTCCTTTGCTCTTGAGAAGTTGAGGAAATGAGCAGAGCTCCCCCTACATTTGTGGTCTGCACCACCCTGCGAAGTCGAAGCCGTACGGGAAGATCCCCTGATAAGACCCACATGGCACTCCACCACCACCACCCGACTGGAAATCCTGGAGAAAGCCCTGCTGCAGAGTCAGGGACAGCTGCTATGTTCTCCCTCCGTGTCAGCTGATGGCTGGAAATGTTTCGCCTCACTCCAGCTTTGACATCTCGTATCTGGTCGTCATGATTTCCTGCAAAATAATATGCAAATATAAACTTAACATTTTTGTCCAGGCAATCAAGTTTTCATTTTGAGAGAGATATTCCCTGAAAACCAATGTTACTGCCTGTTATTATTCAGATGAAATGTACAGCTTCACCCCCCTCAGTTATTGTTAAGCTTTCCATTCTGTCAGAGCACAGCAGTTCACAGCTGTAACAGTCACAACTGCATCACTTGAAATTCTTGCAATGTTTTAAACACTGGGTCTGAATTTCAGACGGAGGTAGACAAAAGCAGGATTCCCATTTCCAAACAGCGACCATCAATTTGTCCTCAGATTTTGCTGATTTTATCAGCTGTAGCCTGTTAAATGTACCAATGACCACAACAAGCTGTGATATGGCCTGGTTCTATAGTGCCACGACACATCACTGTTGCACAGGATGTGGAAAAAGGACGTTGCAACAACTAGTTGGCAGAGCAAGCACAACTGTTCAAATGAATGCAAAACATTGGGCCCTTTCATCAGCTGTTCTTGACAGGAAATTTTTCTTAACACCTGCTCAGGGGCAATACACGTTGCGCCTTTGAACCGTCGCGAGGTTGGGCGCTGGGTGTTACTTTTGTGCCTTTTTTGTGCCAGCTTTTAAGAGCGCGGTGGCAGGTTGCGTCTGAGGTTGCTAAGCAAGCTCAACAAGCACGGTACCATAGCCTGTTTACCTGAAATCCTGAGTGCAGAGCTGATCTTCTTCTTGGCACTGTTAATGTGTGTGGGCATATCGTCCGTGGGACAGATGTAAAGCTCTGGCAGCCCTGCACTAAAATGATCTACTTCTCCTCCATATTTATCACAGACTGATATTTACTGAAGAAGGGAAAGAGATCTGTCGGATGTGATTGGTTGTTTCTTGTTACATGACATGCGCTGCGCGTTGCTGCGATCCAAAAGTTGAACTCAGTTTATCTCGAAGAGCAGCCATCGCGGCCTGAAAAATGGGCACTTTGGAACGCGTGTTTACCACAACGGTGTTGCTCTGGCGTTTGAGTGCGCCTGCCATGCGTCTACATTAAAAACAATGAATTTGAAGGTGCAAAAAATGCGGCATCCCCTTAAGCAGTTTTTCAAAATGTTTTCTTAGTTGTGATTTGTTCTTAGGTAAGAACAGAATTTACGCACACTCCAGGAGCATGCTTACACACATTTAAGTGCTGACATGTTTGTCTTTAATTCTACAGTAGTATAATAGTATCGGATTTAATTTAGAATTATATTTTAATCATGTATAATGTTTTTAAATAATTACTGTACAAAGCATAATGGACTCTATGCACTACAGAAACACTTTAATTCAATTCAGTTATGTTATTTGGGAACCATGCCATCCAAACAGTAGTGATTGATCACACTATTTATAGGCCCAAACTATTTTTTTGGCCCCAGATTGCAGATTGAGCTTGTAATTAATTTTTTTATTATTATTATTATTATTATTTTTAGCTCATCACTTGTTCTCCCTTCTCTGGATACAGCATTCACTAAATAAATAATAGCATCATCCCATGCATCTTTTTTTTTAATACTGATGCCACTAAATCTAACAGCTTGTTGTGTTGTGTTGTGTTGTGTTGTGTTGTGTTGTGTTGTGTTGTGTTGTGTTGTGTTGTGTGTGTTGTTCACTTCCTGCAGAGTCAGCTCCACTTCAGAGCTACTGAAGTTTGGTTTGGAGTCTGGTGCTTGATTCTCTTTAAACTATTGTTCAGACATCCTTAACTTTAAATCTCTCAACCTGTCTTTTCAGTTACTCTGTGTGCACACAGACCTTTAAATGGTATTCATCAATGTAAGAACAACAGTGGAACAATTCAGCAGTTAAAAAAAAATGTCATGAATCCAATATAGATTCTTCTTAGGACCTTTTTTATGAACAAAAGTAAGAAAATACTTGACATTGGTGAATGAGTCTCATCACTCTTGCTATAGCACCATGCACACTGCTTCACATGTGAAGAAATCCTAAGCATGACAGGCCTGCTGTGCCTAGTTGGAGTTGCTAAGCTTTTTAGGGGAAAGGTTTAGCGAGCAGCCAGTATGTGCTTGATTTCAAAGTACGTATGAACAAAAAATGTGCTTTAAATCCCTTAAATACCACAGGTCCTGTCGTCAGTCCCCACATCGCCACTAATACAGCAACTCCAGAATAAGTCCCATTTATTATCAAGCAAGGCTTTCCTTCTTACCATTTCTGGACAAAGTTAGTCATCTCCACATATCTACAACACATGTCTCTGGTTAGATGAATAAGGTGTGTGAATCCTGTCATTATGTATATTTATAGATTCTAAAGTAATTCATACCTCATCTGAGTCGAGCAGGATGGGCAGAGCTCTGCGGTGACAGAGACAGAGAGACTCTGTTAGAATCACACATGTGTTGCATGAGAACACCACCAACAATAAAAATAAATTTGATAGGATGCTTACACATCAGTGAGAGAGCTAGGAATGTTCTCCTCCACCCACTTCAGGTCTTCCTCCTGGACAAGTGGAAAAACAAGGATGAAAAGAGAAAAAACACTGCCATCTGCTGAAACATGTGACACATGTACAGCTGCATTTCCTAAATGTGGACAGCTACCCCTAACATTGATGCTTATTTTTTAATAAACCACACCGAAATTAAACTAATCAATACAGAATTATTCCAGACTAAGTGTGCAGTTGTGTTACTGACCGGGTTTGTTTCTGCAGGCTTCGCTGTGCCATTCGTCTCATTTTTAGCTGCTCTCAATTTTATACCATCAGCTGTAAAAAATAAATAAATAAATAAAAGTGAGTAAAAATTAATATGACATTACTAGAAACTCCCAATATTGGCTGTTGCGTTCTGAGTTAGTGTACCGATGTTTGAAGAGGCGATGAACTCCTCAATCTCCTCATCGTCAGAGTCATCAATGAGAGGTGTGAAGGCATACCTGTGGATATTGAAAATGAAGCAATCAGTAAAGCACAGTAAACAATTCAGCTCATGTTGGTGATTTTATCAGTCAGCAAACTACTCGCCTTTGGTTGTTTGCAGATGGTCTCCACAAGAACATTATGACGAACAGAATGACGGAAAACAAGAACCTCCAGAAAGCATCTTCCACCCACAGCTCGATCCAATCCTTTACACAAAACAGGTCCAATTATCAATAAAATGTAAACATCAAACCATTTACACTACGACTGATAAACATGTCAAACCATACTCACAGACTGGCATTCTGCTAAGCGGAATTTTTTTGCTGTCCACCCTATGAAAATGACAGAAGCTGGGGGAGAAAAGGAAAAGGTTTCTGGTGATTCTCCACTTTCTATGAATTTTATATGGATAAAAATGTAAATAACTAAAAATTGTAAACGCAAGCACAGAGCGTGGTGTTGCAATTTTAAGTCTTGTCGTACCACTTACCAATGACAGCAAATATTAGTGTGTTTGTAAAGTGCCTGTAGAGAGACAGCTTGACGGGGTTTCTCCTCAGCTTCAGAGTCTTGATGGTTTGTGCCAGGCTGACAAAGATGTTAGTGGCAGTCAAGGTAAACATGTGGCGGACATTACGTAGAACACATATAATTATATTCCAGCCCTTTCCTCCAGACACTGAGTCACATGTAAATAAAACAAAAAGAGTGGTCACTTCACTTACCCACTTCAACAAAGCAAATGAATGGGTAATAAACGTGGTTGATGTCAGAAAAAGCCTGAGCTGCATAGTTTTGGCACTCCTGTGAGTCAGGTTTCGTAACAGTCCTTAACTTTGGAATGAGGTGGAACTGGAAGTTAAAAGCATAGATTTGCAACTCTCCAGTTGACCCTGTCTTAACTAGGTGTACCTAATCTCTACATCTGCATATGAATACAGAATCTGCAGATAACGCAACAAGATTTTGGTAGAGAAGCATTTTAGTTTCTGCTTGTAGTCCAGGTAGTTTGGACTTAGCATGTTTGAGTGTGCTTTGGTAGCCTGCAGGTAAACAGGTCATGTGTAAGCAAAAGAGGTGAACACATTAGCCAGAATACATCGTGGAACCCATCGGCTATCAACTGATTATGATTTAGATTTTTATTATATATTAAAAAATGTATCAGCACTTAAATGCAGGTATCTATTGATAGAGATTAGCTGAAATAGCTGACGCATGGAAGAGGAAGTTTTGGCCCAGATATCCACTTGCTACATCTCCCGAATTATCGGTCGTTGTCCCCAGAGGCTTATTGTCATCAGACCAATAGCCAATGGGTTCTGAGACTGAGGTGTACCCAATAATGTGGACAACTGTATATATGTGTATGTTCTGATTTTACATGTTTTATTTTAATTAGCTAATTCATAGATGTACAGGTGTATTCAACATAAGTTGGCAAAAAATTACGTCTTTGTCAAAGTGGTATCTAAAGTTGGGCGATCTGAAAATGTTAACCATGAAGCACTGTAAATTTGTAATCAGTGGGAACTATTCCTCTTACAGCTCTCAGTGTTTAAACATTTTTTTGTCATTAACAATTTCTCAAATAAAAATATATTGCAATAGAGCATTTTTATCTATATTACCCACCCATGTGGCACCCATATTTTAAACAGGACCACCTGTAACGTGTGGTGGGCGAGCATGCAAATCAATTGCTTCTGCCAAGTCGTACCAAGACTGTCCCATAATGTAACACATCAAAATGTGATTGACTGTGCAAGAAAAGAAGCAGTGAGAATGAAAAATTTAAAAAGCAGTTAAATCATCAACCCAATAAACATGAGCTGCTATAAATCTCAGTGGAGGATGAAACCATGAATGATTAATGCTGTATGTCTCTCAGCCAGCTTGTACTATAAGTGCTCTTTCTACTGCTAATTATCTGGGAGGGGAAACAGACAGCTGTAGATAAACCTCTCCTAGTCTAATTTGGGCTCATGTGAAGGAGGTGAGGAGCAGAGAGGAGCCACACAGGGAAAGGTTGTAGGTGCACAAAAGGATATCCACCAGCATAGAGAGGAGTCAAGCAGAGCCAGGGGAATGTTGGCCAGCAGGGCCAAGTCAGAGTCTTTCGCCTAGAAGGGGAGGATAGTGCAGGACCAGAGGGCACAGGGAAAAGGAGAAAGACGTGGAAAAAATCACAGATAGGCTGGGAGATTAAAAAAAAAAAAAAAAAAAAAAAAAAAAGGCAGCAGGGCCAAGGCAGGAAAACTGAAAACCACTTCATTAACAAATACATCCACTTTGCTGTTACATGAGAGTATGATAACTATTGACAATTGGTGCTGCTGAGGAGAGCACTGGAAGGATATGAACCAGATGGCGCAGGAGTCAAACACAGCCACAACAATTTCTGTAATGAGAGCGGGGCCATTGTCTCGAACCTTGATTTATGGCCCCACAACAAATCAGGGAAGACGCACAAATTGTATTGTAATGTCATGTCAATGTTACTACAAAACAATCTGACAACAAACCACAGAGCTTTAATATTGTACTGCTGATTCTTATTTAGTGGTGAAACAATGGGTCGAGTTATTGATTACAAGATAGTTTTGATCACTGAATAGTCTATTGTCATTTGCCAACCAAAACAAGCAGGTTAGAACTTTGCTCCATGTGTTTGCTTTCCTCTGATTAAAAACTGTTAAAATCTTCCGGTTTTGACTATTATTGGCATTTTTATAGACTGATCTCGGTTAAAAACAATAACAAATCAGAGAACACAACTCACCCCAGTAATCCTCAGGACACCTTCAATGCTAGCAAAGGCAAAGTAGAGGATGCCGAGTCCCACAACTCTGTGCATTACTTGCCCCAGTCGAGGCCTAAAATCAAAGAGACCGAAAGAAAATCAAAAAGTTGAGTACCCGATATGGTTTGAACAATAATTTTGGATGTTACCTGTATGTACGGATATATGCTGACATACTTTACAATGCCATAACCGAGGCTGACTATGATGACGAGCAATCGAGCCAAAGTCCTCTTGAGGGCAGAGACCAGCTCGGCAAAGATCAACAAACCTGGAGCTGAAGGCAACAGTGACAGGGAATAAATTACGTTTAAAAAACCAAACATCTTCCCATCTCACATGAAAAAGGTCACGATGATCTGTGGATACTCACAAGCAGAGCCTACAGCGTTGGTGTTTTCATATTCGGCACAGAAGACGGCCTTCTCCACCATCCCGAGAAATATGACCCCAGCTATCCAGAACTGGATCCTCAGCAGATCCTTCCAGTAGCACGCTGCCCAGATAAACCACAGCAGGGCATACAGGATGTACACTATGCACATCATCATGTAGAACTACAAACAGACAGAGAGGGATTAGTCTATAAACACATATGGGAGCAGTTGTTCTTCATTAGCTGGAGACCGAATTCCTGACAGTTCATCCAAAAACATCTACTTTTTTCAGAGTACAGACGATTCATTCAGCTTTAGTTTGATCTCCAAAGGTCTGGAGTCAAATTAAATTAAATCCACTCACTTCCCTGGAGTAGACTGTACTGGGATAACCAGAGCGACAACTGTATGTTTTATTGTGTTTTAGATGAACTGTCACTTTAAAGCAGTGGACACATATTTTGACTCCATTGTAATAACTAAAAACAGTGAAATACAACCCTCCATTAGAGCTGGGACAGAATCACAGGCACATAATATTAAAGCACATACATTTTAAGAATGAGTTCATTCATGTTTCTACTCTGAAGTCATCTACTTACAATCATGAGAGGCCATTCTGTGATAGAGATGAAGCCATGGCTGCCTTTCATCACCACATTAACTGAAAAAAAAACAACAAAATTCAGACATTAGACAAATGATTTCCAATACATTAAAACAGTTGGTAGCTTTTACAAAAATATTTTTTTCTTATCAGCTGAAACTGTCACTTTTTTCACACAGCACTAAATGAAACTGATAATCTGTGAAATAAATTTTACTCTGCTGGCTCTATTAAAGCTTTTAACCGCCTTACCGCGTATGATCGTAAACAACCCGTGAACTGTGGTCAAACTATCAAACCAGGCAGCACTAATCAAATATGAATCAAGATTCTGTTGCTACATTGCCTATTTCCCCCCTCAGATGTTTTCAGAAATGTATTTTAGTGTACTGTTTAGCTGTAAAAGTGAGAAAGTTGGTCCTGCTAGAGTGCAGTGCTTCATTCTTTAGTTTCCAACATGCCACCAGGTCACAAACTCTCATTTTACAGCTAAATAGTGCACTAAAATATGTTTTTGAAAACATTTGAGGCAAGAAACAGGCAATGCAGCAATAGAATCTTGATTCATATTTGATTAGTGCAATTTAGTTTTGACCGCAGTTCAGAGTGACTGACATGATTGACAGCTGCTTTAGGGACTCCTTGGCTGTGACTGGTTGTTTTCAGTACGCCACAGTCAATTCTAGAGAATGCCATTAGAAGCAGTAGGAAGAGGATGAAGGTAATGATTTTTTTTTCCCCACAGACGATCAGTCTCATGTACTTCTTTCAGAATATAGTGACAGCTTAAGCAAACATGACACAGAGTTATTGTCATAAAAGTTACTAGCTGTAGCTTTGAAACTTTGCTTCTGGTGGTTTTGAAATCTGACACTTGGATGCAAAACAGCTTTGCGTTTTTGAGCCAGCTTCTGATGAATGAGGGAAGTCACGTCTGCACATTAATGCACCACCAATCAATCGATGCTTTTAACTGCATTTCCATTCAGAATAACATAATACAGAGAGATAAAGTTCCTCTATGCCAGTCACACAGTATATTAGTGGCTCTTTCTGCTTATAAAAAAATCTCACCTGTCAAATTCCAGTTGGAATCCTGTTTACTGGACTCAATCTTAACAACCAGCAGGTATGGCCCATCCTTCCACGTGGTGGCAATGACGTTGTCTTTGATTTTAACACTGCTGTTCTTCGCGGTGGTGCCACTGTCATACTCCTCGTTAATCCACCCAGTGTCACTTTCAACCTATAGTATCACAAAAGTAATGTAGTTTATTCAGTTTAGTAATGTAGTTTATTATTGCAAATCTTTTTACACCATGTATTCAGAAACCATTTAAAAAAACAACACTGAAAAACATTTTCTTACTTTTAATAGTTCATTCTGTTACTTTCTTAGACCTTTGCTAGCTTTAACTTTCACTACTCTACTCTAATCAATGAGCATTAATGTTTTTTCTTTACACGTACTTCACCATCAACAGGCAGACGGACTGTACGTGGATCTGCCTTGGCTTTCTGAAAAACACAGACAGTAACCGGATGTTGAGAGATAATAAATGCCATGATGCGAAGTGTGTTACCATGCTGAGGAGAGTAATGTAACAAACTTACTTTGAGCATTGGGAAGGAGCGTAATCCACTGTTACACATTATCGGACCATGTTTGTGTCTGATGTATTCTCCTGGTCCAAGGGGATTTGGATCCATGCCCTCCCCACGACTTACAGGAGTTTTGTCATACATTTCCTGTAGACAGCAACAGTCCCCAATCAGCATTCACAAACAATCAGTGTCCAGATACATTTTCTGTTCATTAATATGGCATTAAGCTTTTGTACTTACATCAATATTGTTGAATTCATTGTGACAGGGGTAGTATTTTAAATACCATTCAATGAAGAAGGACACATTCTCAGGACATCCAAAATGCAGAACTAAAAGATGAAGACAGAGGTGATGATAAACACAAGGGGGAAAAGGGCACATTTTTTTGCGATTGATCATGAGCACATTTTCCAGGTCTTACCTTTCAGTTCAATGTCAGTGTCTTTATACATGGATTTCCTTAACAGCAATGGTCTTGAGGTCTGCGAGACAGTAAATAAATGTTTTCTTATTGATCAGTATATAATCATTAAGGCAGGATGGGGGATCAATGGTTAGTTCAAACCCAATCAGCCGCTTTCTATGTTTGCAAAGAGGGAACAAGACCTGTGGATCTGGTTAATCAGAAACTTAAATGTGAATGTGTGTGTCTGTGTGTAAGAGGTCTGTATGACCCCTCCAGGTTGTGCCCTGCCTCTCAGCAAACTCAGTACTGCTACTAGATATAGTGACAGACACAACAGAGGGAATCAGACACTTCTCCGTACTTAAATTATTGATCAAGGCTTTCTATTTCTCCTTGGACTGAGTCTGGGAACTGTCTTAATACTGATGAACTGGAGGAGGGACATCAATGTACAAGTACTTGACTGTAAATCACCTTCCAGGTTTCATATTACAACAATAAGGTGAAATGTGTTAATGATAAAGAACTTAAGACAAAGATACACATATTAAGGTTTATTTAAGGAACTCAGCTAAATAGGAAACAGTCTTTGGACAGCTGTCTAAGCTGAGCTAAAGCCAGCTAACGTTAGTTAGCCGATGGCTAACCTTAAAGTGAATATCAGCCCTTCTCAACAAAGCTAATGCTAATTAGCTTACAACATACTCTACTCTTTCGACTGGCACACATTATCCAGGTCTCTCAAGGACACCAAGTGGCAGTGGGGAAGGTTTAACACGATATAATTAATACAGGACAGATTACATGACTGTGTCCACACTCCCAGCTGACAGCGGGCGAGCATAACAAAGCTAATGTAGCTAACGTTAGCCAACCGGTGCTGCAGTTCTCCAGTGTTTCCGGGTTTAAGATACTCACATTTACAACTGTGATTATCCAAAGCCCTGTCTCTGGTGCTGCTTCGGTCGCATTTATGGTATTGAGTAAAACTGCAAAAAGGACGGTCCATGGATAGAAAACTCCTCTGGCCGGACAGCTCCACGTCCTCATCCTGACTGCAGCAGCCATGTCGTTGTGTGAGTGAACACGTCCCTGCAGGAGGCGCCTTGAACAACCGGAGGAGGATTCAGGGTGACGTTGACACCTACCTGTCCCAGCTGGAGTTGCACTCTGTTTATTTTTATTACAAAAGAACAAAGTCTCATGCGGTCATAAGATGCATATTAGATCTTCCGGGGTTACTGTCAGCCATTGTTTCATCACACTGACTAAACCTATCCACTTATACTACCTACAGTCCATCCTTACAGTGGCGCCCAAATGTTTCATAGGGGTGGCCTCATGGGGCTGGTGAACATCTAAGGGTGGCACACCAAAACTTAAAAGCCATAACTGGATTTTTCAAACTAGTTGAAAACTAAATCAATATGGAGATTTAAGGAATTGCATACTGATACATTTTAGTTTCCTCTTTTACAATCAATGGTACCTTCGCGACGAAAGGGTTCAGTTGGGGTAGTTTGGGTATCTGATCAAGATGATTCCTGGGCGCCTCCTGTTAGAGGTGTTCCAGGTATGTCCCACTGGTAGGAGACCCTGGGGCAGACCCAGAACACACTGCCGACCCTGGATAAGCAGATGAAAATGGATGAATGGATGTTTCCAATTAACTGATTTGCATGGACTTATTAGACACAGCAATCCTGTTATAATGTGTTACATATCTATACATCTTTAATATGAAGGAGTTCATTGATGCTAGTGGTGTAGTGGGGGGTAAATGCAGGTTTACAGGGTATACCCACCTCTTTTCTGGCCATTTATAGTATCAGCCAAAAAGCCATTGGAATATACAGGAAGCCCCCCCTTGAGGTGAGACTTCAAGGGACCCCTGTTCCCTCAATAGAATTGAGCCAAACTTCGGAGAGATATTTAGCTCCACATAACTGGTACCAATAGATGCATTAGGTAGTCTAGTTTCACAAGATACCACACGTCGCGCTAGCTTAAAAAATTAGTACACCAAAGCCTCTTAAAGACAGTAGTATCAGCCTCCAGTTATCCTTGCTGGGGCCCCTCCTTGAGGCACCACTGCATACTTACCTGTGTGCGACACAGGCATCCACAACACATACTGAAAATTACATAGCTGTGTATACATGCATTGTTATTCTCAGTTCTCTGTTCTATGCAATACAAACGAAGCATCTTGCCATAGTGATAGAGGACAATTCACAGCATCTCCTACACCAGGCACTAACCATGTAGGCTGCAGCATATTACCAGAGCAGGCAGCACCATCATTGAATCTATTTAGGTCCTAGTTTTCGTTCAGTCTCTAGATTTTATTTATCTGCTTATGTTGTTTGTTTGGCAATTGAATTTTCAGAATAAGATCATGCATCAATGCCAAAATGGGCCTTTCTTTAGAGTGACTTCTTTTGCTTATGACTTTATATTTGCTTGCACTTAAATATTGCAGTGCAGTTCTTTTCATAAAATATGTTTCCATAGATGTAGCTGCTACTTTTGAATTTTACTACTTTTATAATTATAATTTTGACTTACATGATTTAAGAGAATCTGCAAAACTTGGTGAAATAAGTCTCAATTTAATAAGGTCTTAAAGAAATCTATGAATCATGTGTTTTTACAGTATATAAGATCACTTTACAAATATTCTGTACATTTTCATATTTACATTGCAACACAAAATTCAGTACAGTAAACAATTTCACAGTTCAGTGTATCTTAAGCTTATGGAACATGTGCTCAAACATGTCTGACAACATTCCTAACACTGACATGTAGGCTGGCCATGTAAAGCATAAACTGCTTAGGTAACAATGCTACAGAAAGTTCACATCAGGAAAAGTCAAGGTGCTCCCAGTGCAATGAGGCATACTGTTTAGTACTGATGAACCATGGTGACAGTTTTCTTACAGATCTGATTTGCTTGGTACCGATCTTTACAACAGGAAAGAAGTGTCACTTGAGCTGTGATGCACAGCCGTCACATCAGTACCCATGTCTCCATTTGCTTGACTTAAAGAATCACTCGACAAAAGAGGAGTGTCCGCTGCAGGAGATCTGAGGGAAGGATCAGAGGAGATCACCACCACGTAACGATCATCATCGTCATCATTCTCTTCCTCCAGGCTCCCGTGAATGTCTGCAGTAACAACTGAATTTTCTGCCGCGTGATGGCTGCAGGAAGGTGACGAGTTGAACAAGGGGAATTCTGCAGGGAGTGTTTCTCCGTCAGGGTCCTCTTCAGGAAAGCTGGTGTTAATGTAGATGATGTCGTCCTTGCTGAAAGACTCTGGGAGCTTTTCGGCGAGCTTTTCCAACATTTCTCGCAGTTGGGTAAATAAGGGTCGGTCCAGTGGATCAGCCCTCCAACAGCTGTACATGATCTCATACCTAGACACAGGTGAATAAAGGAAATAACTATAAGAGCACTTTATAAGAGAACATTTCAAAACACATCTGCAAGTTGTATTCAGTTTCTACTTTCACTGCAGATGGCAGTGGTGAGCAGAGCAGTCTAATTCTAAAAGATGAAGCTTTTTGATGGGGATATTTTTTGCTGGACTGGATGTAAGCCAAAATAAGGCGAAATTAAAAAAAAGGTTATGTACTGCACATCAGTACTTTAAGTGCAAAACAACTTCTAGGTTGACGTGTAGTTTGCAGTAAAGTTTACTGCACCATAGAGAAATGAAGGCAGGGCTACATATCAGCTGCTTGTATAGTGGCACCTGAGCTCTGATACAGGCAAGTGACAGTATTTTAACCACAAAGAATTTCAGGGGTTTTTTAAAGTGTCCATGAAGAGCTTGCATTATGTTCTTTTACACTGTTAATACATAAAAGTTGTAGTTGGTAACTTTTATAAAAATAAGTTTATGTCACAATTGCTTAAACTGTTAATATATCCACACAGTATTTCACAGGACAGATAATATGCAAAAAGAAATTATCTTCTCCTTGTAGAGCTTCTGATGGCATTTGCAACAATCCACTGCAGCTGACGGAAAACAACCAATCAGAGTTGAGGAGTCTCTAACTCACAATAAATCACGTCAGTCTCTGCTCATAAACTATGGTCACACTGTCAAACTAGCATGGATCAAATATGAATCGAGATTCTGTTAATGCAGTACCTATTTCTCACCTCAAATGTTTTCAGAAACATATTTTAGTGTACTGTTTAGCTGTGAGTGAAAAAAGTTTGCTCCAACTGGCTAAACTGTTTTCAACATGGCAGCTGGGTCACAAACTTTACACTACACTAAAATGTGTTTCTTAAGAAATTTGAAGGAGTTGCAGTTAATACAACAAAGTTATTTTTATTCAAGTTACCAACTGCAGCTTTACGTTCCTATTTTTACATTCCTCAAAACTTCCTCCATTCCTGCCAGGCTTCGACAAAAAAGGGCTCCATTCTTCTTTTAAAGTCTATCCTGACTCTGATATGCCTACGTCCAACACAATCGAACCCAAAGTCAACACTCATGTCAAGAATGGACAATACTCACAGCTCATCCAAACAGTCTCCCGGCTGCTTCAGTCTCTGTCCTTCAAGAAGGTAGTCGTAAATTTCATGGTTCTGGATGCCAGGGTACGGCGTCATGCCTCGTGTAGCAATCTCCCACATGGTAACACCAAATGCCCACTGCATGACACAGAATATTAACTTCAGATATTTCATCATGTGAAAAAGATTATATTAATTCTGACCCTTAAAATTTGCTGGCTTGAAAGTGTGCTGAAAATAATTTCAAAAGGATAATCTACATTTGTGTTTACAGCCCACTACATATTGGGTGAACTTTGAATGTATTCAGCCCTTGGTTTTGGTTCCACTTTTCATTTCCAGTTTTCATTTCTATGTTTCAATATAGAACATAGACATATTTTTTCCCTGACCAGGGATGACACTACAGGTTAACAGGGTAAAACTTCTCCCAGATGATTACTTACAATAAGACAATCATCTTTTGCATTACAAGTTTATGAAACTTTATGTTTAAGCATGTAAATCCGGAATGAACCAATTAAATATGAGCTTTCTGGATAAATTTCCAGAACAGAAATCTGATCTAAAGCTAACTATGGGTATGAATGTGTATTTTTGAGCTTTTCTTTCCACTAGTCTAGGCAAAAATCCCTGAATCTCAAAAAAAAATCTTTGTTTTCACCTGTAGTTTCTCCCCTTCAGCTGCAAAATACTGTCTTTTTGCAAACAAAACAAAACAGGGCTTTTGTTTGTCATCTGAAACGTCAGGTAATTAGACTTTGAAAGTTCTAAAATTTCAAAAGCAGGGATAAATTGCAACACAGGGTAAAAATCCTGATATTACCACACACTGGTAAATGATGTGAGGAGAAACAAAATGTCTACCACATCTGTAAAAGGAACGCTGAGTAATTAGTGCTGGGTAAATTCAGCTGACTGCTCTGTGTAGACTTCACATGGTTTTGAAATTCAGACAGTGGTGTGTGAAACAGAGAGTGAAGATGAGGTGTCAGTTCTTCTTTTAGTGACAGTGCGATTTATGGTGCTGACTGTTACCGGAAGAGACAGGAGCAGAAGGAGTTACTTACAACATCACTCTTTACAGTAAAAACTCTGTCAGCCAGACTCTCTACTGCGATCCATTTCACAGGCATTTTGGCTATTCTGCCCTGCCTGTAATAATCTCCGCTGTAGATCTTCTTGGATAACCCGAAGTCTGCTACACACACTGTCATGTCATCACGCAGCCTGTAAGACAAACGAGGAACAGCGTTGAGAATAAACAGGAATAGTAAATGACACAACCCTCGCAAAGAAGCAAACTGAATTTTACAAGTTTCACCTTTAATCTGAAAGTGACTACTCAAAATGTTTTGTATCTGCAACTTACATGCAGTTGCGAGCTGCCAGGTCACGATGCAGAAAGTTACGACCGCTGAGATATTCCATACCCAAAGCGATGTCAACCATGAACTTCAGGAGTGTCTGAGTGGGCAAGAACTGTGTACAAAACAGACAATCAAAAAAAGTTTCCTCTAACAATAATATATTTTATGACCCAGAATGTATTTCAGTGTTTGGCTGAAATCTCACCACTGGACTTTCTCCCAGGCGTGAGCGCAGCAGGAAGCTATGTAGATCTCCATATTTCATGAAAGGCAGGATGACCATGGGCTTGGGAAAATGTCCTGAACTTACTTCCAAGCACACACCTAAAAAGGACAAGTCAAGGCACAGAAACAATGTAAGGATGTGCAAATGAAAACAGAGCAGGACACAGAGTTGTTGGGTTTTACAATACTTCAGAGAGGTAATACGTTATTCCTACCTAGCAGTTTGATGACATTAGGATGGTTGAAATCTTTCATGCAGGCTGCCTCATTCAGGAACTCTTCAATCTCCCTTTGAGAAAAGCTATCCACTGTTTGAAGAAAGCAGAAAATCATCCTTTGTTGCTACTTGTCTTACAGTTTATAGATGATAAAAGGAGATCTTTTAGTGATAGAGAACTCACGTTTCATTGTCTTGACAGCAACTTTTTCAGATGTTCCATCTGGTTGTCTTAAATGTCCCTCCACCACCGAGCCAAATTCACCTGATTAAAGGAAATCACAAATACTTAATACTCCGCACACTATGTGTTATTATCTGTATGTAATCATGTGGATATGAATGTCTCCTATGGTTACACATTTCTCAAAATGAAACAGCTCACTCACCCTCTCCAAGAACCTTCCCAATGGAGAGCAAGGTCCTCATGACCATAACGTCCTGAAGTTTGGCCTGGAGTTCTTCACTAACACCGAGGTTCTCAACTGCAGACAGGACCCACTCAAGTTATTGTGTATTTTAAGAAATGTGTCTATATCAGTCAAAATGTCTGCATACATGTGAATCATCCACATTAATATTCAAGAACATACGTGTGATTCCTATGGCTGATCGATTGTAGGATCTCTGGGGTTTGTATTGCACCACAGTGGGCTGCTTTTCTTCACCTCCAAACAGCCGCCTGCAGGGGGAGACAGTGAAAGAGAAAAGACAGGGAATGCTGAACAGTGAGCTAAACACCAATGTCATTGCAGCTCAGTAGTAGCACACACGCACAAACACAGGGAATTGAACTGAAGTGGTGGTCACAGTGAGGAAACCCTCAGAGCTGCCTTCCTGACTTTGGGGCCACATGCTGTTTTCCTATCTGAGCAGCAGCCTGTGACACATTCCTATCCATATCCTGAGTGGCAAGACTGAGTCACACGCTTCATAAAGGAATTCCAGAGAATTAACAGCTGGCTGTAGTCGATTTCTCCAGCTGCACAGTTATTACGGGCTTCATGTGCAGATAATAATGATTAAGAGGAAGCAAAGGCAGTTTATTAACAGAGTCAGGAAGTGTTCAGTTTTTTTAGGTTCTACTACAGTGCGTCACTGAAGAAAGATTACTCAACATCCCAAGGGGCCAAAACATGATCTGATCTTTAAGTTTTTAAAAGTAAAGATGAACCATATAGACAAATGGGTCAAAAATACAGTGATCTGAAGCAACTTTAAAGATAAGACAATCAAATTTGGAGCAAGGTTGTTCAATGAATCAGCACCGTGTTTGCACAGAAGGTGAAAGACTGTCAGCATACCCAAACCAAGAGTCAGAAGTACGGTTTTGTACACAGATAGCCCCCCAGAGGATAAGCAGCAGAAGACAGAAGCCGCACACCACACCCAGCACAACATAGACAGAGTCTGGAACTGCGGTGTCAGGGCTGGACGACGGGGACACCACTGATTCTGAGAGAGGAGAAGGAACAATAAGCAAAGTTTAGAAAAACAACATTCAGCAAAATGAGACATCCAAAACCGAATATTCAGGATCAGTTATGTGATCACATTGCCGTACCTTATGGTAGCACTGTAGCAAAACTAAGATTGTAGCAACATGTCCATAGATAAATAGTTTAAATGTAAATGATCAAGTTGTGGCCATCCTACCTGAAATGAATAGTTCGTAATTTGTGAAGTTGCGTTGTATGAGGTACTTATCCATAGTTAGTGTATTAGCAGAAAAGCAGCAGAAATCATGTTTTAGTCACCTAAAAAGGCCCACCTTAAAAAAATCAATATCGGTATAAGTGTATGCTATATTCAGAATATTTTCACTGCTTTACCTTGCCGTCAGACAATCCTTTCTGACGGGAAACTGAAGCTGTTATCAATGTTCTCTTCAAAGGCACCAGACTCCTATAACAAAAAAAGTAATTTTACCTTGCAGAACATGGGAGCTGCTGGTCTACCGCTGCCTCGATCAAAAAGTTTCTTTGTGTTATTTTGTGACTTCAGTGAGTCTGAACTAACCCCTTAACCCACCATAGTCACACTGTAACACAAAATATCCAACCAATATAGGCAGCAGTAGAAAAGCAACTCCTGTGTTTTGTGAGGTAAAATCACAGTTTTTGTCAAAGGAGTCTGGTGGCTCTACAGAGAGTATAGCCTCTGAAAGGCTGTCTGCTGCAACGTAAAGCAGAGAAAATATTCCAAGTATATATTTATTTTTCTCAAAAGGACTTTTTTTGGCAGCTAAAAACATTTTTGCTGCTGCCCCATCCTTACCAGTACATTGCTTAGCTTCCTTAGCGGTACTACTGTCTGGTTCTCCAAACTGCAGTCATGCTGACCGCCATCAACTCTATATAATACACTGACTATGGATAAGCTCCTCATACAACCCCACTTCAAAAAACCTGAACTATCCCTTTAAACAAGACTAAAGTCTAAATGTTAGTGGCTCTACTAGGCACGGCATTGCTTTGAACTAAATGCTAACATCAGCTTATTAACATACTCACAATGACAATATAAGGATGCTAACATTTGCACATAACACAAAGTACAGAACTGAGGCTGATGTGACTGCCGTTAGTTTGGCTTGTATTTGGTCATAAAACAAAATACTGGACAATCAGCTGACAGTTCCAAGGACACTACCATTACTAGAGCCAGATAGTAAAGTTAACAGTTCCCAGATGATGAGATAAATCAATAGAGCAGCTTACTGTCCTGTGGCACAAACAGCCAGACTCGTGGGCTGACCATGCCGCTCCCTGCCTGCGTGCATGCAGCCACCTCCACACTGTAGGTTGTGTTGAATTCCTGCAGCTCTACATGGACCGTGGTGTTGATACTGTGGAACTGAAATAACACACAGCATAACAACAGAGACAATTCAAATGTGGTTTGTTTCTAGTGCCATAATTAGATTCCTCTTAAAAACAGATTTTAAGGTTAATTATTATCTTTGTGGAGTTTAACCTGTTAAAAGAAGATACTGCAGGTCACCAGATAGACATAGGTTTAATGGTACAGTAAGGTAAGTCATTAAACTGAAAGGGAAGCATATTGTCCATGAAAAGAGATAATGTTTCAGAAACACTGGTGGAAAATTATGCTGAAGAACATCTTGTACACTTGTGCAACATCTCACTCAACAGCTCTGCTGCACGTCCTGACCTCTCTCTCACTATGTCTCCTCCTTTTGTTCTCATTTCCACTTAAAGCATGATAAGAAACAAGAAACTAAATTGAAAAGTCCCTTAAAACTGATTTCACTTACAGTATGAAGCCTTTTTGGAAAATCCCAAAGAACTGATTACAAGGAACTATATATATTACTATATATCAAAAACCTCCCTCAGAAAAGGGAAGGAGACCCACTTTCTATATAAGCTCATGTCTTGCAATGGGAGGGAACATGTGACAGACATAGCGCTGCATTTCACAACACCACACCGTGGGGTTCCTCTGCTTTACCAATGTGCTGACGATCGGACTGGGAACTCTGAACCCATGATTTATGGTCCATCATGTCTGTGGCACCCATCAGAGGGCACTGTGTGGTTAAATGTTCTTACAACAGCAAATCCTCAACAAAGTATGGGAATCAGCCTCAGATTCAAAACAAGATGATGACACCATGACTTCTACCATGGAACATGGAGAATTATGAGCAAGTAACAGGAACTATTAATCCCTCAAATCTAATCAAATCAAATCTTATCCGAACTATGTATTTCAGTTTCACAGGGGCAGGTGGGACTGAGGATTAGACACGTAGCATATGTGCACATTTCCAGTCACTGCTATTACAAAGCCTTTGTGAAATGACATCACCATCTGACTGGACAACACATAAGGATATTTGGGCCTATAGTACACATCCCGTTGTATTCAGATTTCAGTCAGTCTGTGATGACTCAAAGCCACATGCTGCAGAAAGAAAAACAGATTGCCAGTTTTCACACCATCAGCGTCCTTTAACTACAACACAGACAGGAAGGACGGGAAACACTATTGTACCAGAGAGCACAAATGCAGTAACAGAAGCACGACTCGGCACAAACAGCATCATGGAAAAATGTGCCACACCATTGGTGCATACAAAAGAAAGTATTAAAATAAACTGTGCTATTTCTTAGAGAGTGAATCTGAAAAAGAGACACTTCTCGTAAATGACTTTCCCTGCCTCACTGATTCTTGAGAGGAGTGGAAAAACTGTTGTTCAGAGATAATAGGGAAGCTGACCTCTGGTTCTGTAGGCAGGACAAAGGGAGGATCACATATTCCCAAATATGTCAGACACATTCTTTTCATATTTGTCATACATGAGTCATTGTTATCAGAAATGTTCAAAGGAAAACATCAGCTTTCACAAAAGAAGAAACTTTAAAGATAACACCACAAACATGAGCATGAACAACAGCATAACTGTTGTTTATATATCTTAATATACAATATAGTAGTAGTGTGTGTATAGTGGAGAATATGCAGTCTACGTAAGTGTAGGCACATGTATAAATACTGTCTGTATTGTTTTATAAGTCACAAATAAATCTCAAGTCTTTGTAGTCAAGTCCATAGACAAGTCTTCAGTCAAGACTGACAAGTCCCAAGTCAAGTCCCAAGTCCTAAACTTTGAGTTTTGAGTCCTAAAGAAGTCATAATGCACTCTTCATCGAATGGAATGCCATTTTAACCACAGATTAATAAAATATTAAGTTCACAAAAATCATGCTTTAAATTTTTTTTATCAATCTTTCAAAGCAAGTGCAACTGAACTTAGTCATAAAAAGGTAGAGTACCACAACAGAATGAATTTTGTATGTTTCTGTCCTGTCTTGTTGTATTTAACTCATCTCATATTAGAAAAACATCTTTAAAGGCGCTGTATGTAAGAATGTGGCCAAAACGGTTACTGCATTCAAATTCAAAATACTGCCACGAGTCATGTCCGCCCCCCCTCCCCTACAGATTCGAGGTTGCTGGACAGCGGCACGCTGGAGACTGATGTGTTTGCCCACGGGCGGCTGCCGTGGCAGGGCCGCGTCACCGCGTCCTTGATCTTCGGTTTTCCAGCGGACCATTTGAGCAAGTCCGGCTTCTCTGCTGCTAACGCTGCTGCCGGGATACAGCTGAGGAGACTGCTAATGTTATGTACCGGGACACTGCTAATACTGCTTGCCGTGCTGCTGTAGCTCAGTCGTAACTGTAACTGATGCTGAGACTCTACTGACTGCATGACTGGTAGACGGCGGCGGGTGGCGCAACAGGCCAAAACACAAATTCAAAACATAAACATGATTTGTGGACCACAAATTTTTTTTTTAAATGTGAATATTCTGGCTGTACTATTGTTGTCTGTGAGATCAGTATGTTATATTAACATTATTCCTTAGTCTATGTGACATATTAGGAGGATTTTACGACTATTTGCTTTAGATTTCTTACATATAGCTCCTTTAACTTTCTTTTCCCAAAATGCCTTTGCTTTGCTATCAAGTATTTTTAAGTAAAAAGGCTCAAGTCCAACTCAAGTTACAAGTCATTGGTTTTTAAGTCCAAGTTGAGTTGCAAGTCTTTTTTGATTTTGTCAAGTCTAGACTCCAAGTCCACATCTGAGGTATTAAACATATTGTATGTATGTATGTTTACCTATGTGTAATCAGTAAATACAGTATATAAGAAGTCATGTTTTGTTTTTTTGGGACAGTATGTACATATCTATTACATGTGTGCACATGTGTGACTTTATATAACTATGTATATACATACATGCACATATATAGTGTATGTGTACATCTATGTATGTGCATCTATGTACATGAATGTATATTTCTGACTATATAACCTGAAACTAAACTATTATAACCTGATCAGGCCTTTTAGGTCATCAGGCAGAGGTTTTATAGCTGTACCCAGAATTAGATCCAGCTCTAGTGAGGGTGCCTTCAGTTACTGTGGTCCTGCTCTCAGGAACAAGCTGCCTGCTAACCTGAGGTCCAGAGCAACTGTGTCCACATTTAAAAGCAAACTTGAAACTTATTCCCTCAGGTTTATGGTTATTAGTGCGTGTGTGTGAGTATGTGTGTGTGTCTGTCTATACTCATTTGATCACACTTGATTGTGTTGATGCCTTTGTGTTCTCTATATTATTGTGCAAATGTAGGTGACTAATGCTCATACTGTTTTATATATGTTAATGCTACCTATGTTGTCATATTTTTTTATGTGCACATGTATCTCCTGTATGTGTAGTATATAAGTTGCTTCTAATTTTACTAACTTTATGTATTTCTTCTTATTTCCAATTTATATTTTGTTAATTGTCTAAGCTAGTGTGATCCATAGACAAGGAGAATCATTATTTACAAAAGGCTTTAATTACAGTGTTGTTGTTGGCAAGCTCACCTTGTTCACTTGTGTGCCGTGTCTGACGATAACATCATAACCACTCAGGATGCCATTTATTTTATCATCCGGTGGAGGTTTCCACCTGACCACCAGCCGGGACTCATTCAGCTGTGCTGTGACATTTCGGGGATACACTGATGGCACTGAAAGTGTGACAAAAATGGGAACAGAGGGATTAAGATATCGTCATGAGTACTATAAACCTATAAAACAAAAATGGAAAAGAGAAAGTAAGACTGCCTCTCCATTGAAATCTTTGATTACAGTTTGGTATGTGGTCACTTCCTGGCACAGCGTATCAAATCTTTCAACTAAAATATCCCCTGCGGTGGCTTTAGGAAGGAAACTGAACACAGCTCCACCCAGTAAGTACTTTGTGTTTCTCTGTGAGACCACTCCTATTTCCTATTTGACCCTTTAGGAAAACAAGAGATTTTACTGGATAAGACATTTTCCTGAAGGGGACTTGCCATGACCAGAGCAGGTAGTTGTGCAACTTCCATAAATTCCAGTCATGACATGCTGCTACTGCAAGGAGGCTTACATTTAGCACATTTTGGACGGGAAAGCAGTCGGCTAATTACATAGTGCTACGTTTCTGAAACCTAAACAGGAATCTGCTATGATGAGAATGAGGCATAACACAGAGGCTCTTCTTAAATAAATAGTCAAGGTGCCTTTTAAGGCAAGTAGCAGCCTTGTGAATTCAAACATGTATATACACTAGGATGGATTTAATTAGATTTTGGTTCGTCTTCCCATGTTGCAGCCACGTATCTGCAAATCTGCTGGCGTATCACAAACTGCCAACTAAATTCAACCTTATAATTGTTCCAGAGTTCCTTAACTACTCACATACCTCCCTCTGTAGTGTTGCTCTGGATCCACATGCTGACGGGAGAAGCCCCCACCTCATTGCTACAGGAAACACTCATGCTGTACCACGTCATAGCCTGCAGCCCAGGGATTTCGCTCTGGAAAGGCGGCACTGTGACGTTGATGAACCTGGTGGTCATCACCTCCCCTTGCCGCCGACTCACCTCTTTAACCTTAGATGAAACAACGAACATGTGAGGATCAATTCGAGGACATTAGGGAACACCTGTCTTTGTGCAGGCATGGGGCTTACCCTGATGTGGCATATAGTTAGTGGAGAGAAACCATCATGTCCGGGGCTCCAGCTCAACATCAACTTATTGGACTGCCTCGCCGTCACAGTAACGTTGGACACAGGGTCAGGAAGCACTACCAAACACCATATAAAAAACCCTTATTAACTCCCTAACATGGAGGCATATGGTCAGCTTGCAGAGCATGAAAACCTCTTGGAATGTGTACCAGACCCCACAAGACTGAGTTTTACCTTTGATGTTGATATTTGCTTCTCTGGAGGTGGTGACTCCCTTCGTGTTGTAAGCTTCGCAGCTGAACTGTGTGTACTTGTCCACACCTGTAATTGACACATTTGGGAGGACAATGAAACATTTCAATGCTGTATGATCTCAAAACAAACAATCCTCAATGACCCTTGAGGAATCAAGGTCAAGACAAAGCTGAATATTGATAAAGGTGTTACTAGGAAAAAAAACTGAAGTTCAAGCTGGCCAGGCACATTGTTATCATCTTCTATGTTTGGACAAACTAACTGATTTCTCTCTGTGTCGAAGGCGAATGGGTGGCAAAAGTGCCATGTCAGTCTCAATAGAGAAGTGAGACTGAAACTGATACAAAAGACACATTTGGGGATGATTCATTCCTTTATTATACCTCAAAAGTTCACACAGCAGTACCTCATGCAGTAAGATCAAATTGAGCCTCTCCACTGCGATGTACTGTGGTAACAATGGTTTTGCTGGGTCTCTTTTCCTGGACGCACAATTCCCCTCTTTCAACAGCCACAGATCTGCCCGGTTAGAATAGGACTGGGATGGCTGCAAAATAATGTCCCTTTTGTGCTCTGTTTTCCAGTCTCTCTATCTCGCAAACCTTTCCACAAAGCTTATCACAGAACAGCCTGTGAGAGATGACTGGAAACAACTTTGGTTGCTTTGTTTACATTCTGCAGAATATCGAGACCTCTTTAGTTTGCCTTTGTCTGCTCGGGAGCTCCAGGGTAAAGAGTGCTTTAGTTAGGTTGGGTTGAATCAGTTATATAAGTTACATTAAAAAAGCATCTCACATAAACTTTGGAACACATAGATCAAAAGTGCATAAATTAACATTTTAAGTGACAGTTCAATTCCTCTACCTGTCGTGCTATCTATCAATTTAAATTGTTTAGTATGAGTTGCTGATATGTTGGAGATATCGGCAGTAGAGATGTCTGCCATCTTTCAAATATAATGCAACTAGATGGCACTCTGCTTTGAAATACTCAACAGCAATGTCTCTTTCCAGAATTCATGACCTGTTTACTCAAGATAATCCACAGACCTTGTTGTGAGCAGTTTCATGTAAGAACTATTTTCTGTCTGCCAAACTAGACATGCCAAATGTATCACTGCGCAGAAGGCGTGTGCTTATGACAGCATGAGATGTCAACATTATTGCTGTCCTCCTTGGCTAAGCTGTAATGTTAGCTAGCTCAGTGGTGCTAGGTGAGCTAGCTGCACGCTTCCTTCTGCATGGTGATACAGGTGGCATGTGCAGTACTTTAGAAATAAAATAGCTCCTACAAAAAACTGCTCACAGCAAAGTCTGTGGCTTATCTAGAGTAACTGGTTAATGATTTCTGGAAAGAGACATTGCTGTTGAGCTTTTCAAATGTACTTTTTGGTGCTTTGAGCACCACAAGCCAGGTGCCATCTATTTCTACTATATTCAAGAGAAGACAGACATCTCTATAGCCGATATCTCAAACACTCTGCAACCCAACAAGTGTCCCTTTAAGGTTCTGACAGAAACATGCAAATAGCCTACATCAGTGCATTTCCAGCCAAGCTGTGCAAATGTAATTACCACATGCCTCATTTCAAACTGCATGGCAAACAGATGGTTGAGGCAATGTGGGCACTGAGCAGGGTTCACTGTTGACCCAAATGAAAGTGGTCCTTCTACAATTTTCCAAAGGAGAAAAGTGACAACAGGGAAAAAGCCAATCTAGTAAATGTCACAACACCTTGGTTTATTTCCAATATCTGTCTTTTGAGTGAAACTATTCAGCCCCTGAGAGGAAGAAACATTGCTGCATTACTGTCTGTTAATTGGTTTTTGTGGTTGTGGTCTTGTTAAAATGATGCCAGTTGCTACTGCTATCAAACGGTGACAAGTTTTCATGGTTGAGGAAATGTCCATAAAACTTCTGTAATTACACCTGCAGCATAATCCACCTCTGTCCGTACACATGATGAGTTTATTCCAAACACTCATTCCCGCGTTTAAGAATGGATAAGTGCCACTTGCAACAGAGCTGTGTGAAGCATGTGCTTACATGTATTTAGCAGTATTTTGGTAAAACAATGAGTGTTTCCACAATGCTGTGCTAATATATGACAACAGAAGAGTGGATCATGCTGCAGGAGCAGTTTGATGCATGGATTATCCGCCCAGCATCTACAGTAGAGTGTCAGTCATATCAGCTAATGGCTCATTAAAGACACAATTCTTTTTAAGGACATGAAATAAGTTTAATGGCTCGCACTTCTGCTTTCACTGTACTTGGCAAGTAAATCAAAACAAAAAGCTGCAGCACTGTCATAAAAATAGATGGGTTGGCAACTCAAATGGAAACATCACAAATTATGGAGGGGAGCTCTCCAGTTTACTGAGCTGCCTGAGATGTCTGTGATTTTTCCATTTTTATATTCAGGCAGCAAATATAGCCAAACTGCTCAGTCAGGTTACAACTAAGCCTTCGATTTTTCACTCTTTATTACTGTGCACCACATTTGGTTCAGTTCTCTTTTTGTTTTTCAAAGCTGAATAGCCAAATCTGTGTCCACCTGCTGTCCTGAGAGAGATTTAAGATTGAAATGTGGATAAGAAGGCTATAACCTCAATTTAAATCTGCATCAACATCTGTATTTAAGAGAGTTTAATTATCTGCTTTGAAGCATTCTGACTGAAAAGTGAATGCTAACAACAACTCAACTCAAACAAAAATACAATCATGCACCACTTCACATCATAAAAGTACTGTGATAATATCATGGGATCCAAGCCGTAGTGGAAAAGGGGGCCCTGGACTCGTAGTATGCATGAGGTGCAGAGGAGTGGTTGTGCCAATATTTGGTCTTGCACAGCGCTCTGGTAGCCTGCAGCCTCTGTGCCCAGCCCCTCCCTGCTGGTTTGTGGGCTGTCCTGTGAATGAGGTCTTTGTCCCCGGAGCCAACCCCCGAACAGACTCCCCGTACAGCCCCCCATCCCCTTACTGCCCAGGCCCTTGCACATGCTGGACCAAAGCAAAGCTCTGAACGTTTAACCCCCCCAGCGCCAGGCTTTATCTCCACTCACTGGCTACAGCAGCAACTCGTAGCCTGCGGCGAGCGGAAAATGAAGGGTTAGAGCAGAAAGAGCAGAAAGGTTATGCTTCTAATAACAAATGTTTGCTTTCAAAAGGAGGGCAGCTGAGGCCATAAAAGGAGAGTCCAAGTCGAAAAGGCTGCTATATAATTTCAAGAGTATAACGTGAAATTAAAACTCAAACCTAAACTGATCTTCTCACAACTACTCTTGACTTTTACATTCAGTATATTCATAAACAATAATCAACTTCAGTAGGTATTAACTTTCATGCAGAGCTGAAATGATTAGTTGATTGATTAGTCGGTCAATTAAGGTGCAGCAAATTGATTATCTATAAAAGTCCTTTTTTGTTAAATGTGACATTCACTGATTTCAGCTTCTCAAATGTGAATATTATTTATTATTATATTATTTTTCCATGTTAATAAACTAAATATCTTTGATTTTGGACTGTGGATCAGACAAATCAAACTATTTGAATATGTCAGCTAAGATTTGGGGGAATTGCGCTATTTTTGACTATTTTCTGACAATTTAAAGAAACAACAATTAAAATAAATAGTTGTCAGTTGCATGCATATTTTAAAGCAACAGTTTGAAATGCTGATAAATGTTTATCTGTTTTCATGCCGCAAGTTAGATGAGAAGACCATTACCTCAGCTCCTTCTGTTCAATGTAAGATTACATCTTAGTTTAGCTTAGCTTAGCTTAGCTTAGCTTAGCATAAAGACTGCAAGCAGGGGCAGTAGCTAGCTTAGCTGTGTTCAGTTGTAACAGAATCCATACCAGCACCTTAATGGTCACTTAACAGCACATTATTTGATTAATCCATACAAAGACTGGATTTGTTTACATGCCAAACTATTTTAAGCCCAGTTACTTGGCAACTGGTCCCATTTTGGTTACCTTTGGACGGAGCCAGGCTAGCTGTTTCCCCCTGTTTCCAGCCTTTATGCTAAGCTAAGTTAACCAGCTATTGGCTCATTTAGTATAGTCATAGCTCTCAGCAATAAAGTGAATAAGTATATTTCTCCAAATGTCAAACTGTGGCTTTAATCAGAAAGGAAGTAATGCATTTCAGTGTTTAGTTATTCCCCATGTCTGTCATGTCACCTGAATGACCGTTGTTGACCACTCAGCAGTGACACTGACTGTGGTGATAAATCTCACTGCAGTAAGCAGATGCTGAGGCAGCAGAGACAAGGCAGAATAGAAACCACCGACAAAGTGATGCTAGCTGAATTAGACCTGCTCCACGCTGTGTCACCATTATCAGAGAGCCACATGTCCCTTTATCTCTGCTAATGAATGTTTCCACATTCAATCACAGGAGGGTGGTTAACCAAAGTGAAACTAATTAATTGGTTTAACAAGCTGTAGCTTTTGTGTACCGTCTAGTAAACTACTTTAACAACTTTTTATAAAAGCCAGAGGTTCTTCTAATAAAAACAAAACAAACCCACAAATAACGCTTGATCAAAAAGCGCTTTCAGTGATTTGACGCAGATGAAACAGACTTTAAAGGTGCACTTTTAAAGTCCAGAGAGAACTACTTCTATAGCTCCTCTAACACACGTCAGACTGATTGGGGTGCAAAGTATCTTATGTCAGCACATCTTCAGCTTCTTTCTGTTTGTTTCAAGGTGTCATCCAGACTTAACTCGAGTCATATTCTGACCATTCACTGGACGATGTGTGAGAAGAACAGCAAGAACTAACACTTCTCTCTGGCGACAACCTCAATGGGAACAGGCATTGAGAGGGAAGGAGTGTATAAGTGTTGTTAAGTAGACCACAATGCAACACATATTTTCTGTATGTGTGAGGAAGACACAGAGACTGTGTGGTTAATGTCTCACCTGACACAGAGAAGCTGCTGGGAGAGTTATGAAAGTCACTATCAGGTAATCCATCACGGAGCCAGCGGATTTGAACAGGATCTGGGGGTCCGACTGCCTCACATGACAGAGTGAAAGGTGAGTTTCTGGTTACGTTTCTGTCCTCAGGTTGCCGGATAAACGTTGGTAGACCTACAGACGGATTAAACAATGTGTCATGACAAATATGAAAACCCCAAGAAGCATCCAGTCTTGGCATCATGTTAAAACTTACCTTGCACCTCAATGGTGATCGGCTGAGACTCTACAGTTCTGGAGTTGATGCTCAGTCTGCAGCGATACTCCCCTGCATCCCCTCGCTGCACATGGTTAATGCTGTAATACAGAGGTCACTTGTCAGTCTGTGTAATCAACCTGTCACACAGCTTTTCACCTAAATGTGTTACATACCTGGCAGTGGAGAGGAGAGTTGTGACTCCGTCTGTGATGGTCTGGAGCTCGTTGATCACCACCTGTGAGTTTCCTGCCAGGTCCTGGCCGTTCTTCAACCAGAGGATGTTGGGCTCCAGCCTGGCATCGGGGATGTCGATGGAGCAGTTGAATTTAGCTTCATGGCCCTCCGACAGCTTGATGGTGCCTATGGTGGGTTTGAAGTGCAGCCGTCTGAGCTGATCTGGAGTCAGGTAAATCCTTGAAACACGGCCTGGTCTCACAAGAGGTTCAGAAGTCCTGGTGGGATGGTGAAACCGGCCCCCTGAATGCTGAGCTGTTTACAGAGGGAGATATGAGGTTATATTCAACATACTGGATGAAAAATATGTTTTTTTCTTGACACAGAGGAACATGTTTATTCATGTGGAAGCACAATGTTGTACCTGAGATAATAAGCATCAAAGATTTGACAACTAAAGTGAAAGAATTAGGCATATGTTTACATCAAAAACCACTGTAAAGTAGCAAAAACCATGGGCATGTGACAGCTTCAGGGCTGCATCGAATAAGCATCTTGAATAATCTAAATATCTGTCTGTTTTAAATTATTGAATGATCACTATAATCATTCAAAAAAATCACATCAAAGTGTGACCAATCCCAATTCCAAGCTCAGGGCAACGTCTCCAAATTGCTTCATTTGTTCAACCAACAGCTCAAAACTCAATTAAATCCTAATTTAATTATATAAATGACACAAAAGCAGCAAGCTTTTAGCCAGTCAGCCTGGTCTCTAAGAGGTTCAAGACAGTGGAATGTAATTAAAATTCATATCAGAGAACTAAATACTTCTAGCAGTAATCAATTAAAAAATGGATGATTAAAACATACACATGTAGCCTAAGCACTAAACTCTTTTGCGACTGCTAATAATATCTGCTAGTGTTGTACTACATGGAAATATGTCACCACTGCCTCTAGTGCTTTTAAAAATTGTATGTCCTTTTATTTTGCATCAATTTTAGCACTAAATAAAGCATTTGTTGATTCTTGCGACTAAACAATCATGTTAAAATCATTCTTTGTTGATGTGTTCAAAGAAGTATTTTAAACTGTATGCCCTGTTTTATTTTAGGTAGCCTTGAGTAACATCTTGGCAAATATGGATGAAAAATAGCCTTTTGGCTAATTCTGGCATCTTCATACCATGTATTTATTCGTTTGCACTGTCCCTTCTTAAATAAACTGAACTAAACTAAACAATTATCTAACAGATGAACTGACAAAAAACAAAATAGCTGGCGATTTTCTGTGATGACTAAATGATAAATCTGCAGATCATTTCGGCACTTACCAGTTTTGACTGAAATAAAAAATGGATTTAACCTCCTAAAAAAGGGTGGATAGTGAAATTAGACCACAAAATTAAAGAAAAATATTTCAGCATTTATGAACTTTGGCTCTTCACCAAATAGGTAATTATAAGTGTTGCATTTACTGTCACATTCCAGTGCATAAGAGTTAGCCATATTTCATTACTATAATTAAAAATGAAGCTACAGTAAGATAGCTTAGATGATCAGTGCTCTGAAACAAACTCATTCTGCCTTGTGTTTTTAAGGACGTTCTCGGAACTTTCTGTACGTCTATAAAGAATCCCTTTAAAGCCTTTTCCAGGAGCGGATATAAATCTCTTTAAATGAGCAGCCTATTTAAATCTACTCCAGCTGCAGAGAAGAGAACTGGCCCCTGCTGTGCATTACATAGAGTTAACCCTGAGAGCCCACTGTGAGGGACATGAAGTTATAGTCCAGCAAAACAGAAACCTCCAAGGAAATAAACAACTCACCGTTGACCGGACTCCCCACAATAATGGCTAGGGTTGTTGTAGAGAGGAAAACTCCAAACCAGCCTGGAGCCTTCTGTGCCATGACCAGTGTGAGCTCCTCACCGCTGCTCTCTGCCCCGCAACAGGCTGGAAATGTCTCTGATACTAAGCGGATTGTGGTGCAGGACCGGACACTTGAGCTCCGACAATAACCAACATCACCCACTAGAGTGGCTTCAACTCAGCTTGTGTGAGGAGTTGTTGACCCGAGATCACATTCAGCTGGAGAGGGGGAGAAAAAAGTTAACTTCTCTCCACGTCACAGGAGGGATCCCATGAAGGCGGGGCTGAGTGTGGAAATAAAATACTGAAAACAACCAAAATACAGCAGTGAACCCCAAATGACACTCAACAAAAGTCTTTAAGTTTCACAGTTTATATATTTTTATTTTTCCTAAACTATGTGTTTTCTTATTCTCTTTCTTTTAGACAGAAAAATATACCTTATAGATTTTACCATATTATCTTCTAACAAGCATTATGTACATGTATGTAACCTAACAACACAGACTAGCACGATAGATGATATATTTTATCTTCATTAACATTATCTCAAAAACCCTCAGAATAAAAACAAAAATCCTGGTGGCATTTAAATTGTCAGCTCAACTACTCCCCCACGTGGTCAACTCTAACATAGCTTCTAGTTTTAACCTTGGTCACAGATAATCCTGATTAAAACAAATTAATCCAACCTCAGAATGAACCAAATAATTTAATTTACATGATTCATTAACAGGAATGTGATTAATCGACAGAGGCAGCCATGGTTTGGCCCATTTTCACCACTGATAACAACAATTGCTTGTAGATGAAGAGGAACACTCAGAGAGGATTTCTAAATAGTCTGAGCACAAGGTCCATTTAGTAGGTGTCCTGGAGTTTTCAGTTGTATCACACAATCATGGAATAAAATGTTTAATTTCTTTGGAACACTTTAAGACTTCTTGTCTTTAGAATTTTTAGATTTAGAACAAAAACCAAACACAGTGAGGGTCCATTTAGTAGCTGTTCTTGAGCTTCCTTCTTGCAGATTTCTATTAATGGATGTCCACCTAGCCACAGGACTTTTTCACAGGTGACATTTAGACATGTGACAAGCATGGATGGATTACAGAACAGGTCTACCTGGTACATGCCCAGGGCCCCAAAGGCACCCCTGTCCTTCAACTGCAAAATGTCACTCAAATTAACATGTGCTGACCAGGAGGAGACTCAACATGAGCAAAAAGAGACACAAAAAGTCTATGAAGAGATACAAAGGAACTGCAAAGAGACACCAAATAACTAAATGAGCAAAACAACCACAAAGAGACAGAAATTGACTACAGACATACACAAAATGACCAAATAAGACACAAGGTTACCACAAAGAGACACAAAACAACCTCGAAGAGCCAGGAAAGATTATAGAGATTCACAAAACAACCAATAAAGATGCTATATTGCCTCGTAGAGATACAATCTGAGCACAAGGAGACACAAAATGACCACAAAGAGACACAAAGGCACAAAAACATCTATAACAACTAACAAGACACAAAAAAACACCACAAAGTCTGTGTGTCTTGCTCCTATGTAGTGGTGGTGGGAACTTTGGCATATCTGTGGCCAGGGTCCCACAGTCTCATAATCCGCTCATGGTTACAAGCAGGAAAACTACAAGTGGAACTTATGTCATGAATGATGGTCACACTGGTATGGCTTACCAAGACACTAAACCATCATCAGTTTTATTAGTTATACTTGTGTTTTTTACATTTAGACGAGTCCACATGTATCCCGAGAAAAAGGCTGAGTCAGTGGGTTGAACTGCAGGCATGATGGGAAAAGGCACCCAATGCTACAGCAGAGTCACCAGATTTTCCTTCCATTCATTGGAGCTGTCAGAGGTCACTAAATAATATTTTCTTATACTTATCCAAACGATTTCCTCCAAATCCAGCATGAGTTGTACATGCTCACTTTCTGTCCTATTAACAGACTAAAAAAGTTTTAAATCTCTTTTTTTCAGGTGAGCTCTCGCTCCTCTTTCAGGTGATGGCTCTGTTGTGACATATCAGTCAGCCTCATGCCTGCACTGGATCTTTTATTTTTGGATCGCAAGTTGCTCTTAAGTGCGTCTTCACAGCAGTAGGCCTTCATGCGATAAACACTGGCCTTGTTTTTACAGCAGCCCAAGGTGCTCATAAGCCGATACACGTCCTTCCTGAAAGCCTTGGTGAAGATAGCATAAAGGAAGGGGTTGGCACAGGAGTTGATGGGGAAGAAGAGGACCAGCAGGATCTTGGAGTTCGTGACCGTGATGAGTGGAACCTTGAATGCAGCAGAGATGGCAAAGAAGGAAATGGGTGCCATGCAGAGAAAATCTGTGAAGATGAGCACAGCCATGCGTTTTGCAATCTTGGTGTCGGCGCTTCTTCCAGGGATCTCTGGGTTCTTTACAGCCAGATAGATCAGCACGTAACAAACACACACGACAACAAAGGCAGCCACGTTGATGAGCAGGATAATTATGATGAAGACCTGAGCCAGAGGCGTCTCTATGTCCATGGGTAAGCACATGCTGACTTTGGAGTAACTGCTCACACCAACCAGGGGCAGTATGCCCATCCCTAGACAGATGAGCCAGCCAGCTGCCATTATACTTGCTGCCTGTGTCAGTACCAGACGGCGCTCTACCTGTAGAGCATTGGTGATGGTGTGCCAGCGCTCCAGAGTGATGCTGGAAAGCGTGTAGACTGACAGCTCCCCACCAAACACAGACAGGAATCCTGCAGCACTACAGCCAGGCCCTGTCTGCCATTCAATAGCATGCTGACTGTAGTGGCCATGTGTGCGCAAGTCAACTGTAGCTATCATCAGAAGGTAGATCCCAATGCAGAGGTCTGCAAAAGCAAGGTGGCACATGAGGAAGCGAGGCACCGTCAGCTTGGTCCGGCTGGTGAAAGTGACCAGGAGCACCGTCAGGTTACCTGTGATGGCCAGGATGTTGATGAACCAAATGGCAACTCTGAGAAAACTGAAGCCTGCGATGTCCTCACAGGGATTAAAAGCATCTGCTTCAGGCGTGCAAACCAAAGTCGGTCGGGTCTGACAGAAGTCCAGTTCTGGATAGTGGAAATTCACGTTTCCAAAGCCTTCATCCTCAACAAACAGATCGGCATCTGAGAAAAATGGCACATCTATAAGTAGGGTTGTGTCTGCTGAACCTCCAATTGCACGCTGAACACTGGTTTCAAAGAGGAAGACAAAAAAAGAGAGGAAATCTTAAGAACTCAGAAGTCAAAGCCAAACTAGAGAGTAGTGTCATTTGAAATCAAAGATTCTGCCAATAAAGCTTTTCATTAACCACCAACTACTGCACAGACTTTAATTTAAAAGCAGATTATACACATGAAAGCACCTTGCCGATGGGTCACTCTCATCACAGTATGTAGAGCCATTACTCCATGCAGGATTAATGGGAAGGTCCCTGAAGAGAAGGAAGGAAATCATCAAACAATCTGTCACCATCATTGCTTTTACTGTGATACACACGTTAGAAGGTGCTTTGAAACAGCAGTGTGGGGCAGAGCTTACTTTAGATCAGCCTGTTATATGCACAGTGTTAGTCACCTGTGGATGTTCCAGCTCAGCAGTGCACAGCAGTGACTGTTGTAGGTGAGATGGGCTTCTCGTAGGCTCCACAGTCCCTGCAGAGGAGGAAGACTCTTCAGGCCGTACGTTGACTGAGCTAACAACACCAGCACTGACTCCAGTCCCTGTGGTGGTAACTTTGTAAGAGCTGTTGCAGACACGTCCCTGTGAAAGAACATGGTGAACAATACAACTGTGTGGGGGTTGAGAAGGCCTCTTCAGACCAATGAGCTGGTTGTGCACTGCCACGGAGCGCAAAGTCAGTCAAAATCAGCTGTTATTATATTAGTATATTACATATCTTTATATGCAAGATGGAAAGAAAAGCTGCCCAGAAGCGCACGCCACAAAGCACTATCTTGTTCACTATCTCTCAAGTCTGGACCAAGAATTCGAGCAATGAATCTATCAAAACATAAAAAGCTAGTCTACAATTTAAATGGTCACTTTGACAAACATCCTCTTCCCTCTGCCGCCCCTAAATAAATCTAAGCAAATAAATGTTGCATTAAGTGACTTTCAGGAGGATTAAAAATATCACTTACAAGACTCCAGGGCCCGTGGCTCCTTTGAAAGCATCTCTGTGGATCACTCTGAGATTTCGATTATTCTTTAACACCCTGAAATTACAAGACACAGGGTAATGGAGCAAAAAGCTGAATGCTGTGAGAGAAACTACAACATTCTGTTAAAAGGAAAAGTAAATGTGGGAAAATACAGTTTATCTATCTTTGTCCCGTTGAAGGCGTGGTCATGTATCTCTCTGATGCCGTTGTTGTACAGGTTCCTGCAAGCGGTCACAAGATTGTTATGATTAAAGGTGAGAAATATTCATCTTTGTCTCCAACTAACTGACAGTGTAAAGCAATTAAAGTGAATTTCTTGCATCACCTACATTGTTACGTATTCTTTTGTCAAGCCAGCGAAAGCATTTGGAGGTATTTCCAGTAGATACAGATTGTCACAGATATCCCTGCAATAGCATGACAGTTCAGAATAATGCAATGTGTTGTCACAAGTATCTAAAACGTGCAACAGATGTACTTACAAGATAAACTCTGATTCAAGAGAATTGATGGATGTAATATCAGGAAAAACTTTCATCCCAGTATTTGAGATGCTCCTGTTAAAGCAAAGGAAAACACAGTCTTGAGTATATGGGATTTGAAACGTTTATATCTTAAACAAAATACATATATATAAATCAAAATTGTATATTCTGAGGTCTCTTACAAGTAATGTAGTTTGGGAAGGTTGTTAAATGTCCTTCTGCCAATGTGCATGAGACTCCTGGTGTTCTGGATTGAGCTGCAAAGTAATATAAAACATTAGCTTTAACTCCACTACATTGTAGTAGCCAGGACTTTTATTGACTCAGATAACCACAAAAAACAGACTCACATTTCAGAGAGGTTGAGAAGGTTGTTAAACGCTAATGCCTCAATGTTTTCCAGGGTCACACTCTGAGCAATCTCACTGAGTTTAGGGCAGAAACAAAGCAGTTCATCAGATGAACATGTATCTTTATAACACTGAAAGAAAAGGCAGATTGCTCATTGATGCCCATAAACTTTTTATTAATGGGGCCACAAAAAACAATGCAAAGTTAGGGATGATAACAGTTTACATGATTACATACATAGCCCTATTCTTACTCTACATATACAGGGAAATGGTAATGCACCCATTTTCATAATTGTTCCTTACTTGAGGGGTTGCATCACAGTGCTTTATCATTGTAACATGAGGCTATAGTTGACTGATTCCTGCCCAGTCGCCAGAATAGAATCTTGGCATTGTTCATTTCTACAAACTACACATATGTTACATTTGTACATTTCACGCTTATGACATATATAGATTACATGTATATGAGCTGAGCCTCTCACCAGGAAGGGGATGGTGGGTGTTGTGACCCCTATGCGAGACAGCTGCCAAGCCTCAGACAGCAGCTTAACAACAGTTTGGGACATGTCCAGCCATGTTTGGAGTGACCAAAGTGGGTGTTTTAAGCCAAACATGATCTTTTCCTCACCCTAACCAAATGATTTTGGTGCCCAAACCTAACCACAAGTGTTGTCACAACATAAGATTGAAAATTGAACCAAAAGAAACTTAAAGTTTCAACATATCTGCAACATATGAAACATACAATTCATGGTTTAACGAACACTGGGAAGAAAATCCCTGTCTGAAAACTGGAAAACATGAACTTTCATTGCAGTTATATGACAAAATGTCAGATCATTTAAACTAGTTTGTCAGTGGAGGCTAATTGATACTTACATTCTCTGGACTCTTTTCAAACCCTCAAAAGAATGGCTAGTGATCGTGTGCAACGGCAAGTGATAGAGAAATCTGAAAAAGGTATAGGGAGAAGCACCATTAATTAAAAATATCTGATAATCAAATGCCTCTTAAGTAAGTTGTCTTAAAGCACCATGACAACAGGGTTTAAATAAGCTGCATAGTGGATGCTTTTGGAGGATTTTTTAATGCTGAAATCATAGCTACTGTACGTAGGTGTAAATACAGAAATGCTTTAAATTTAGTCTCAAATCTTTAAAATAAACTTCATGACCTCCAGGTTAAGTTTCAGCCTGTCCAGTCACACTGATCATTTGTCTCCTCGTGGGTACAACGGCATTGAAGTTGTAGGTTCTCGTTGTATTTCACACTGCCTGTAAGGCACACAAAACTTCGCCATCCAGCCTGTTTCACTTGCTCCCCTCCTGACTTCAGCTGTTACATGTTCAGTTGACATGTTAAACTAATGATATCACTCAAAAATACTGTTATTTGGGGCATCGGTGGCTTAGTGGTAGAGCAGGCGTCCCATGTACAAGGCTCTTGCCGCAGCGGCCCGGGTTCGACTCCAGCTTGTGGCCCTTTGCTGCATGTCTCTCCCTCTCTCTCCCCCCCTTTCACACTTGTCTGTCCTATACATTAAAGGCTAAAAATGCCCCCAACAATATCTTTAAAAATACTGTTATTTGATCATTTGACAAATCACAAAGTTCCTGGAGTGTGAGAGGTGCTGCTGTCATTTGACACATGCATGAAGCTGCTGCCCTTGGTGTTTATGGACACTTATCAGGAGTGACTCAAGGTTCTGTGATTTAGCAGAGGAGAGGTCAAGATTCCCCACCTTCAAGGCTCGTGACAATCTGCTAAACTTGAAAAGTGAGCTCTGATGCCCAAAAACCATATAGACTGAGAGGACGCACTTGACCGTGTGAGATCAACTTGACATTTTCTTCACAGGTAATTAAGTTGCACACATGCAGGGCCCTCTGTTTCCCAACAATAGAAAGTGGTGTGTGGTGGTACTTTTGCTGTATAAGGTAAAGCTGGAAATGGGAAATATCAGTATTACCCAGAAGCTGATATCCTTCAGTCTGTCCGTGTCTTTTATTTTATTGTTGTGATTGTTATGATTGTATGACAAGATGTACAGGCACACAACAAGGCTAACAGTTACTAAACTTGCCAAGCAACTTTTAGTCTATAGGAGCCTTATACATACATTTATAATGACACAGCAGGAGGATTCCTCCTCCTAGATAAACAAGGCTGCATTTATAAAGCAGTCCTCATTTATCTTTAGCACCACTGATGTTCTACGGTTATGGTTCAGGAAAAAAAAATAAATTAGAACATGAGGAGAAACAAATTATGCCTCAACACTGCAATTCTTTGAATGCCTTTCCAGTGTGTTCGCAGAAAAGAAGTTGCATGAAAAACTGGTTTGGACTACATTTAGACCAATATGGGCTTCCCGTTTGCTCATATGGATAGAAACTCCATACACAGAAATGCACCACAGACCTCATCTTATTAGATAGATGACTATAAAACCTCTTGTCAATGGGGCATCTTCTACAAATAACTTACTAATGGCTGGGGGGTGATCAAAGGCTACACTCTAGATATCTTCCCCTATTAGACTATAAAACTAACACTAGGATTTGTTTTATAGGTGGTAAACTGCCTCTTGAGGTATCATTACTACGCCAACACGGTGTCACTGGTCTTTCTTTTAAACTTGGAATAAGTGCTAAGAGGATGTTCCAACAAATTAACCACAGCCAGTGCTTGTAAAGTTGCATGACACAATTTGTGCTGTATGCCAGGATATAAACGAATACACCACAACAAATTAAAATATGATCTAATCAAATTTGGGGAAAAAAGTTCAATTATGTGATATTTACTTTAGCATCGCTGTATCTAACCTAAATGTAAGCGCATTTCATGTAACCAAGCCAGCGCGTTTCAGGTGGATCCCAGCTCCATGCGTAAATACGCACGGAATGGTCTTGGTGATGGTTTTATCACAGGAGCTAGTTGCATCAATAAACAGATATAAATGAATAACATGTGTCATAATTAAAGTGCCAAATGAATTACCAAAGATAGACCAACAAAGTAGTTATCAGTCAAGACTGATCACTCTTCAATGAAATGCCTCAGTCACAGTAAATCAATCACATCATGGACTCACCACCTCGCAGTCTCTACCACATTCATGAATCCACCTCAGTAGTGTCAACTTACAGTCTTTTATCCCTGCTGCTTATCGTCTGCGCTGATCCTTCTGTCACATTGTTACATCTGATTGTGTTGGAGAAACAGCGGCAGATCCTCGGGCAGACGAACCCTGAAGCGCACTTGCATCCATAGAAGAATACAACAGACAGGAGCGAGAGCACTGGCGGCGACGTCCACATTGTTGTGCAGTCTGGAGAACGACTGAACACTCAAGAGCCGGGATGTCCTCTGAATGCTGCGCATGTAGATATCTGGCCCTTCCTTAAAGTCTCTTTTGCTGCAGTTGAAGCAGATCGTCATCCTCTGCCTGTGGAGAGGAGAATCTCAGCCTCCTGATAGTGGATTTCTTATCAAGTAGCTCATGTGTCGCAGAGAGACTTATGTTGTATTCACAAAATCAGATGTTTATAACTGCTGGGGTTTTTGTCATTTGGTTGTTGAATATTACTAGTATGCTCTTTTACAGTATGGAAAGTTTACACATAAATATTAAATAAGCAGTGTTTGAGTTCAGGGTGCACAGGGGCTTTAAGATGGGAATCATTTGTGCCACTAAGCTGAAATTAATGCATTTCCATGAAGCACATCAGCTTGTAAAAACTTTGGATCAATGGAACACCTTCATCCCTACTTGAATTTGTCATATTGATCTGCATCAATAGGACTCTTTAACTTTGCATACATGAGCACAAGGTTTACTACAACTTCACTGACCTGGGTTAGAGTGAGGGAAATAATGCCCCAGTCCCCCTGTGCCTATGAGACAGTCACCATAAAGTGGTGGACCATTGAGTCACAAAATGCAGATGGTTGCACTTTTATCCAAACTGCTTCACAATTTGCCCATTCATCCATTCATATATCCACCATGGCAGGGAGCTACCTTTGTGAGGTGCAGGTCTGACCATCAGGAGCAATGTGGGGTTCAATGTCCTACTTAAGGACACTTGAACACATGGACATGCGGAGCTTCAATAAATAGTATTTTGATTTTGCATGCATGCTGGTATCTAACTTTGATTTTGGTATTGCGATTATCTCTTGAAACACCAATGCTGCATATTTAGACCCTAATGTGTCTCTTGACATGTGGGGTGACAACAGTCTCCATGATGTTTAATACACACTGTGCAAGTTTATTGAAAAAGTTAGAAGAATTATTTCACTGTTGTGTCTGAGGAAGTTTTGATAATGTATTTACAGATACTGCTGCACATTTTCTACAAGATGCTCAGTTTTAATAGTCTGCTGTAGCAAACATTTTAAGGCTAATATAACTTGTGATTTCCTTGACTGATGAGGGCTGTCAGAATAATTGTTGTGTTTTCAGTGCCACCCTTTCCTTTCGATTATGTTTGCTAACTCTTGTGTCTGTAATCGCTCTGCATTTAAGGATCATTAAAATAAACATTTCTTCTAGCATACACATAAATAGCCAAGTCAATGACTATGTCCCGCAGGAGGACACTGTGACCCAAAGTCAAAAGCTTCACATAACTGTATCTTGTTTGACGCCACCTACCAGTATGTTGTCGATAAAGACAAGGCAACATTATACAGCCTTGACACACAGCATAATGTTTTATGCTGACAGACTGTATTCTGAAATTTAAAATATGGCATTTAGGCCTCCAGGATTGATGGAAACCTCAGGTGGAACAAGAAATTAAAAAACCTTCCTGTAATTTTCCAATAGGCATGCCAGACAGTCAGTCGTAAGACCTTTGAGGATTTATTCAATCAAGTTCAGTGGAAAAAATGTCAAGTAAATGGATTAATTAATTTAAAAATGTGAACAATTTTCAACTTTTTCCCCTCCAAAATGTATTAAAATAATGTTAGACGCCCAGTGTCTTTTGCATGGGTTAGCCAGAGCTAAAGTTATGCATGGAAGTAGTCTAAACACTGCACAAGATAAGCTAGAATAACTACCAAGCATGGTCATGACAGGAGGCCACAGCAAAGCAGACGTTGTAGTGACTGTGCCAGTTGTATATTGCCTTGTCGTCATAGCTCCACTAGATGGCGACAGAGTAACAGAAAAGCAACAACAGTGGTATGGAGAAATGGAATAATGAAAACAATATGCGAAACAAGTTAATAGGCTAAAACAAACAAAAATACTGTGTTTTTAAGGGCCACTGATGCAGGTTATATATAACAGAGTGATCAGCTTCAAAGAATTGTATAGCTCTGTTTAAATAAATATACTTTTTTGTTGTTGCTGTTGTTGTTTTCCCAACTCCTTGCTACTTTAAATTAAGCATTGAAAGGGACCAACAGCCAATCACACCCGAAATGCCATCACACTATCAATCCAAAGCAGTACAATTACCCGTTAATTTTGAAGGCTGTGTGGAAAATATTTATATTGGTAGAACTAATATATTAAAGGGAAAATTGTGAACACAGTAAGTTATGTCACTTTCCCTTCTTTCAGATATTTTTGTCCTACTAATGTATTGATATACAATGGGAGAAAGAATGGAAAAATTGTGATGAATACTGCATAAATAACAACCTTAAGGAAGTATCTTTCATATACATAATAGGCTACTTTGTGATGTGTTTAGTGTGATTATTTGGCATTTATTTTTTGCTGTATGTACACCAGAATATTTCAGATTCATGTCACAAACTTAAAAAAAAAAACTTGGGATAAATGTTGAAATAAACACGTTTGATGCACTGTTATATTTTAGTCATGATAAGATTGGAAACGTCATATTTATGGGAAAAAATGGTCAAAAACCAAACTAACTTTCCTGCTCTTTATTAATGATTTCCAACAACATAGCACTGTTTACACTGAGACCTTTAAGTTTTAAGTTATTATAATACGACATATATATAACAGAAAGTCTGGCATAGTAAAATGTAAATGTAATTCATTTATTTATGTTGCTGTCTATGCATCAGTTTGTACTCCTGTACATGAATTTGTGCACAAGTGAACAAAAAACAACTTCTGGTTTTTCGCTTGTGCGCGGTTTATTGTGTAACACCATTATTTCCGACAGCACTGGAAGGCAGCAACAGTCCCGAGGAGGAGGTGCGGTTGGATAAGTTGCCTCCACGGGCTGATCTGCGGTCTGTTATTTAAACACCTCCACAGAGACGTTAGCCAACACTGGCTACGTACAAACTGGCTCCAGATCAGCGCTTACAGAAAGCATCATACAGGAAGGCAGGAAGTCAAACTTGTCACTAACTGACAAAACTTGCAGACATTAACAGCAAACGTAGCTACATTTGGAAGTATAGAAATTCGGATTTCGCCATTTTCTGCCCGCTTTGTGAACTAGCCTCTAAAGATGGACAAGCTTCGTCGTGTATTAAGCGGCCAAGAGGATAATGAAGAGCTAGGTCTCACTGCACAGGTAACGTTAGCGAGCTTACTGTATGACAGCTGCTAATGCTAACGTTGTGTAACGTGAAATGGATGAGAGTGAATAAAAAGCAGCCCTGTGCTTGTTTCGTTTCATGTCTAAGTCTCAGCGTTACCGTTCAGATAACTGCCATTAACGTTAAAGTGGTTTATTTTAGTTAGCAACGTTAGCTTTGAGTGAAATGTCAGTTTATGCTAACGTTAACTCTGTAGCCTTCCATAGACGTTAGCTAACATAACAGTGTCATTACCGGATTTTATTTTCGATATCATGTTATCATACGTTAAAGCCAGCTGTCTTAAAGTCCCAACAGCATTTAATAAACTGTATTTGTTTGTTTATTTACACTTTTTCCATGCGTGTCCGATGAGGAGGAAATGAGGTAAGGTGCTGACATGAACATTGTGTTTTTATATTTCGTGTAACGTTATGTACTTTTTTAACTTGTTGCAAAGTGAACACACCAGAGTCTCCACTGCTTTCATTTATGAATTTCTCTCCTCTACTTCACTACTGTCGACTATATTTTGGTTTTATTGGTTCATTTGGCTGTGTTCAGTGAACCGAGTAATGCTCTGTGCCTTTAACTTGTGCTGTATGTGTTGTGTGTTTTAAGATAATACCGTGGCTGGGTGTTATCTGCTTGGCTGCAGCCAACATGGTTAAAACACCAATAGAAAGCCTGTGTTTTTTTTCTGCGGGTCATTAGGTTTGTCCTGTGACATCCTTCCATTGTTCTCACCAGGTCCTTGATGCCAGCACTCTCAGCTACAGCACCAGGGTGAAATGGTTCGTCATATGCTTTGCTGGAGGCATCCTGTGTTCAATACTCGTGAGTGTCTCAGCCTTTTATGTTGAACAGGCAGCATTTATGCTCTGACTGATTTCATATTGACATTGGGAATGCAGAGAATGCAGAGCGTGCATAATACTATTAATGCTGTCAGCAGTTATCCAAGTTAGTTTTCCCTGTGCTGTATTAACATAGCTGACTGACAATGCCCCTCTTGCACTTGCAGATTAAACAGATTGACACATGTCACTTATGCTTAGTTAATTAACACATAAAAGTTGCTTTATATAAGGAAAGAGCTCAACGTTTCAGTTTGTAGTGTGTTTGCCGTTCTAATGGCAGGAAGTCTTGTCACAGGCAACACTTGCTGATAATACCGCACACAGACAGTTCACACTGACAGAGCCCCAACAGGCCCTGTGTAGGTCTGGGTGGTTACATTCACACAGTCAAGATATCTCTGCACATCTCTCAACAAACATTACATCTTAAAGTCTCTTAACTTCTCTTTTATGTATGCGTTTTAAAACAATCCCACTCTCCTTTTTTTTTTGTAGAAGTAAGTAATGTCCAGAATTTGGTCCGTCTGTGACCTGCACTTATTAGCTGCAAGTTACTTGAGTGTCCTTACAACCCCCAATAAATTACAGCACTAATGTAAAAGTTTAGTTTCTGCATATTGTGAAAGGTTTATTTTTTTTTAACCCTGCTCCCTAAACGACATCCATCTTACAGTGCAATGTTCACACTCAGAGTGTCACAGGTCTTCCTCACTGAAAGTGATCCAAATAGAGAATGTAGGTGTAACACCACTCAGGTAGTGACTCTTTATCAAGGTCTTATAGTGTTTTGTCACAAGGGGGAGCCCATCATGTTTCAGGAAAAGGCATTGTACAGCCCATAGAAGTCCTTGATGTGTTTGTTTGGTTTGTTCCAATTAAAAAAAATAATATAAAATGTAAGACTTCAATCTATTTAGCTACTTGGCTTTTACTCC